TTCTGGAGCCTCATTATGGGAGAAAAACAAGAATAGACCCACTGACTCCCGAACACAATCATGTCGTTAGAGTTGACTAAAGTTTAGAGGCAAAGTGACTAAACATTTGATGCTCTTGTCTAGTTTGAAAGAATCCTTACCATTACCAAACCACAGGCTGGTGTTGGTTTGTTGATTGAAAGATTATCCTCACTGCACAGTGGACAAGTTCATAAGTTCTTGGATCCCATCTTCAGCATGTAGTGACTGATAACAACAGTTCTGTCTTGGTCTGCTGTTCTTCTTTGGCTACCTGTATAGTGTTCATGTTTGGCGACCTGAAGTTCTTGTAGTCTTTTGAGTGCTGCTGATTCGGTGTCATCTCTTGAATCATCTTCTCATCCTGCCTCCTTGAGATCATTGAGATGTCAGCCTCGTCCATTGCTTTTCCTGCACTTACCATGACACTGCCAGCAAGCCAATCTGCTCCTTTATTCCCTCTTACCCCAGAGTGTCCTGGCACAAAAAGAAACTAATTCCTTTCAGACACAATTTCCTAAGTGACTCCAACCATTTTCTTTAAATCCATCCTGTCTCTATTTTCTTTAGCATGCTCAGGGAATCACATAGAAAGAACACATGGAAAAAAATGCTGTGTCTCTAGCCACATCATTGTTTTTGTTACTGCTATCACCTCTGTAGCCAGATTACTATTGAGGCAAAAGCCCCGCTTTCTTCTTTTACAGTTTTTTTCTCTTTAACCAGAACCATGAAAACCCATTATTTGTGATCGTGTCGAACAATGGATCTGTCAGTGTAGATAACTGCACCTCCATCAGCAGAATGCTTGTGTGCCCAGTATGGGTGTTCCAGATATAACTTATATGGAGGTTGAACAGGGTATCTGGTATTAGCTTTGTAAGTTTGCTCTCCAAAACAAGAATTGTGTCATCTGAGGGTGGTCAGACCTTCTTGTAGCAACCCAGAGAGGGAAACGGATCAGGAAAAAAAAATTGTTTTAAAAAACTTTAACTTTATTATTAACATATATTCCTAACTACTAATTTTAAATTACATGACTTGATTGCCTTCAAGATTCACGACTTCTTCATATCTATAGCTGCTCCAGCGTGGAAGGTAAAGCCACGTGAAGTTATTGTTGGTGTTGAAGAAAATGCTGTCTTTGAATGTGATGCAATTGGTCGTCCACCACCAACTGTTGAATGGTTCATTAATGGAAGACCATATGCAGGTTTGTTCTCACATTTCATTTGTGTATAATTAGTGCCTGAAATGAGAAATCAACACAATCTTCTTCCTCATCTTATTTGCTCTAACAAAAGGTGGTTGGCATGTTATGTTGTGGTTTACAACTTAGTATGTTCTGAAAGAGGCAAAGACCTGAAAGAAAACTTAATCTCAAATATCAGAAAGGGGCTTATATATTAAAGGTACCAACAACAGATCATGTAGATGTCATGCTAGAGAACAAACGAATAAAAGTATTGGACCATTTCACTTTTTTTTAAAGCAATTTTGACTCTCAAGGAGATACCAGGAAGGAAACTATGGTACATATTGGCAAAGCAACAAGTCTTTAAAAGCCTTAACAAAGTATGCAGCTCCAGGTTATACAGCTTTAAGACCAATCTAATGTTATTTTAGTATTAAGGGTGATCTGTAGACTAAGAATATGTTGTTATTTTAACAACAAATAAAACTATGGGAAATTTGTATTTCAGAGGTTCCACCTAATCCACGACGAGTTCTGAATGGAAATGTTCTGTCCTTCAGTAATGTAGAGAAGGATGATTCCCAAGTAATTCAGTGTAATGCAACAAATGCTCATGGTTCCATCTGGTCAGATGTCTATTTGTATGTACAAGGTAAGACACATTTTTTCTTCATGTGAAATACTGTAAAACCTCATTAATACAAATTCAAAGAGACCCAAAAATCAAGAGTTTGTGTTAACTAATGTATGATGACAGGGGGATTAAAAGATGTATAGTAAATAATACATCTCTGCTTTTGCCAAACTTTTGTTCATGTTAACCAAGTTTTTATCCTAATAAAGTTTGTGTTAAAGAGGTTTAAGTGTATTTGCTTTTAATGAACCTATAGGCCAGGTAAAGTAAAGTGAAGAATGGGAGAATTGACTCAATTGCACCAGATCTTATCCCATATGACTCACACTCTCTCTCAATGTAGCAGTGTTCTCCAACCTTTTTTTCCCCCCAGGTATGCTGAGTATATGGAAAGATTCACAGCCCCTTTGAGTTTATTGCAGGGCCCCCACGCCTCCACCCCTCTCCCCCAGTTTATTGCAACACCCTGCATGCCCCTCCCCCCCTCCCGCCACCAACAAAATAAAACATGATTAAAAAGAGAGGACGATAGACTCCGCAACAAGGAAAACTGAAAGTATGGAGAAATGTTCTGGTCAGAATGTGTTCTTAATCTATGAATAAATGTTTGTATTATCATAATAATTACATTATTAATGGTAGGTTTACAAAGTGCTCATGAAAACATTGTACTTATCATTGTGTTTAATAAATAGTTTTACATAATGTTGTATTTATAAATTAACTAAAACAATATGTAGGTTTAACGGATTATAAGTACAGATGCACTCACTTTCAAAATTGCCTAACGGCCCCCTTGAAACCTCCTTGTACCCCAAGGTCAGAGACCAGTTCTGTAAAGTAACCTTTTTTCCCACTGGGAGTGCTGCACAAAGTACAAAAGCTATATAGCTCTGTAAAATAACAAGAAAACGTAAGACAAACATTGATGAGAGAGGCCAAAGATGCTGGACTGGATTCTGTTCATGATACTGAAAAGGTTGCACATCATATAGTGGAACAGGGAAATGGATGTAAGCGCTGTGTGATGTATTAATGGCACATTAGTGGTGTGGATAATAATAATAATAAAAATAATAATAATAATACCGAAATCCTGTGGAGAAAACATTACAAAAAACAGCAACAAAAATGATGTGCCATCATCAGTGAAAGTTACCTACAACCCACTGCTGTCTTTCGGAATATTATGTGATGAAGTACTGGCCTCTTCCACATTGTAAACATTACAAACCCATGTCTTATCTCAGTTAGTTTGTGTGTGCTGGGCCGAATCAGGGCCTGGTTACATCCTTATATATCTCTCTAGATGTGAAGTTCCAGTACTTGCAAACCCTGTAGGTTTCTGGTTCTAGGGAGAGGAAAGAGAGTTCTGTGTCACAGTGCTTTTAGAAGTGTTACTTTAGTACAGAGTGAGAGGAAAGAGAGTTCTGTGTCACAGTGCTTTTAGAAGTGTTACTTTAGTACAGAGTGAGAGGAAAGAGAGTTCTGCGTTACAGTGCTTTTAGAAGTGTTACTTTAGTACAGAGTGAAAGGAAAGAGAGTTCTGCGTCACAGTGCTTTTAGAAGTGTTACTTTAGTACAGAGTGAGAGAAAAGAGAGTTCTGTGTCACAGTGCTTTTAGAAGTGTTACTTTAGTACAGAGTGAGAGAAAAGAGAGTTCTGCGTCACAGTGCTTTTAGAAGTGTTACTTTAGTACAGAGTGAAAGGAAAGAGAGTTCTGCATCACAGTGCTTTTAGAAGTGTTACTTTAGTACAGAGTGAAAAGAAAGAGAGTTCTGCATCACAGTGCTTTTAGAAGTGTTACTTTAGTACAGAGTGAGAGAAAAGAGAGTTCTGCGTCACAGTGCTTTTAGAAGTGTTACTTTAGTACAGAGTGAGAGGAAAGAGAGTTCTGCATCACAGTGCTTTTAGAAGTGTTACTTTAGTACAGAGTGAGAGGAAAGAGAGTTCTGCGTTACAGTGCTTTTAGAAGTGTTACTTTAGTACAGAGTGAAAGGAAAGAGAGTTCTGCGTCACAGTGCTTTTAGAAGTGTTACTTTAGTACAGAGTGAGAGAAAAGAGAGTTCTGCGTCACAGTGCTTTTAGAAGTGTTACTTTAGTACAGAGTGAGAGGAAAGAGAGTTCTGCATCACAGTGCTTTTAGAAGTGTTACTTTAGTACAGAGTGAGAGGAAAGAGAGTTCTGCGTTACAGTGCTTTTAGAAGTGTTACTTTAGTACAGAGTGAGAGGAAAGAGAGTTCTGCATCATAGTGCTTTTAGAAGTGTTACTTTAGTACAGAGTGAGAGGAAAGAGAGTTCTGCATCACAGTGCTTTTAGAAGTGTTACTTTAGCACAGAGTGAGAGGAAAGAGAGTTATGCGTCACAGTGCTTTTAGAAGTGTTACTTTAGTACAGAGTGAGAGGAAAGAGAGTTCTGTGTCACATTGCTTTTAGAAGTGTTACTTTAGTACAGAGTGAGAGGAAAGAGAGTTCTGTGTCACATTGCTTTTAGAAGTGTTACTTTAGTACAGAGTAAGAGGAAAGAGAGTTCTGCGCCACAGTGCTTTTAGAAGTGTTACTTTAGTACAGAGTGAGAGAAAAATCACTACATTAACTTCAGTAGGTATGAACCCTTCATCTTGTTAAGACTGATGGGAAAAAATGCAAGGAGAAGGCAAATGGATAAAATCCTGGAGAGCTTGGCCATATGTACCGGGTAAGACAAGAACACATATCTGATCTGTGATTCTACTGAGTATGTGAGATGATCCACCAATGCATCATATTTAAGACTTATAACCCAGCCTTCAAAAGCATTCTCAACCAAAGAGCAAATCGATTAGCTAGTATGATCAGTATCCTATTGTGCCATTATATATCATATAGAGCTCGCAGTCTGTTCCTTCATTCTGTTTTATCATGTGTAACAGTAATCACTAGTATGAAAAATATCCAAGAAGAGGAATTGACATTACAGACATTAAACATCCAGACAGAAGAATAACCACTGCTATCCCTCAAATGCTGAACTGCAAAGTGCTCCTTCCTGTGGTTCTTAGCACCAAAAGTGGTAGAAAATAAGGATGATGCTGATGGTGATGATGGTGATGATGATGACGATGACAATCAACATAATCAAACCAGCTTTTTTTTTTCTTCTAAATCTTTCAGCATTAGCCCCTATCATAGAAGCCAAGCCAGCAGAGGAGACTGTGGTAGCAGAGGAACAAGTACTAAAAGTGTCATGTCAGGTTACAGGAAAACCCAAGCCAAGAGTCATTTGGTATAAAGGAAATCAGCAACTTATCCATGACAAATTTGAGGTCTTGAGCAATGGAGATCTCTTAATCAAGGTTTCAACTTTTAAATTTTCTATAAAACTGTATTAAGACTGTGTAGGTCCATATGTTTAATGAGCTAAGTAGCGTAGAAGGAATGGCATTGTCAGTATAATGCTTAACGTTATTTTTTAGTGAGGTGGGGTAGGAGGTGTGAAAAAGGGAGGCTATAAGTGGGTGAGGGATATGGAGGTTGGGGGTGGGGTTGTGGGGGGGGGGGGGTGGGGGGGGGGGGAAGTGGAACTGGCCATCTGTCTCATCGTGCCACTTCTCCTTTTTCTTTTGGCACCTTCTTTCTCATAACTGTTGATACCAGTGGTTGTCGAGAGATTTCTAATTTTTCCTCCTACTTTTCTGGAATTCTGGGGGAAGTGGAACTGGCCATCTATCTCATCGTGCCATTTTTCTTCTCCTTTTTCTTTTGGCACCTTCTTTCTCCTAACTGTTGATACCAGTGGTTGTCGAGAGACTTCTATTTTTCCTTCTACTTTTCTGGAATTCATCCCATTTATAATGACACAGACTTATATGCCAGTGAAAAAGCTACCTAAATGTAAATTCGAACTGGTTAGCTCACCAAAAACACTAACACAAATGACATAACGATTAGATAGCTTTTAACAGCATACAATAAATTGGGCGGTGTTTTGACTGCATAAAATTACTTAGCTGTTTAACTCTATTGTGCCGAAAAAATTTTTAAAGATGGTTCATTAACCTGTAGGGATTCTGGCCAAATAATCCTTTAAATAAAATAAAAAACGCAACTATTTTGAACAAATCACTAATACAATCACTTATCTTTATTTGTTCTTAAAAAAATAGAAAGATATATAAAGGGAGTAATCATTGAACATGAATAGAGTGAGGTATTAAATGGAATACATTCCCTGTGGCCTAAAATTAGGTACTGGGTGACTCATGCCATGACCCTGTAACCTAAATCACAGGATATAGGTACTGTTTTTTTAATTAATATATTCATACATTCATATCCAGCCCTCCTAAATACCATGCAGGTACAAATAAACAAAATAGACATAATGGAATTTAACTACACAAGAACAGGTAACTGCAGAATGCCTATGCATCATTCACAAGAATGCGTCACATCAGGAAGGAATTAGATCTAGAGTTCTTGAGATGACAGGGCTAAAGGCTGAAGTCCACTTCTACTTAAAATGCTCATACATGATAGAACAGAAAAGTATTATATATCCTAAAAAAAACTGGTAAAGGATCTTGTTTCCATTCATTTCAAGCATTCTGATTAATATGCTGTTAGAACCATAGCTTCTTAATTTTAAATGATACTCAGTAGATAATATAGTCAGTTTCAGACTAACAAGAGACTTCCGGCCAAAATGGAGGAAGGCTTGGCAGAAGGTTAAGCTTTAAAGTGATTTTTGCTTCCCACAGTGCTTTGCTAATGCAGTTTCTACATAGGGATGGTAGTCTACAGTTTTGCTACCTGAGCTACTGAGTTTAGTGCTTGGTTGCAGCCCTGTGAGCTGTGTTTTTCCTGTAGAATGCCTTTCATTCGTGCAGCGGTTGTATCAGGGTATTCATGGCCGGTAGTGGGTTTATATGTGAGCTGATGAAATACCTCATGTAATAATTCTACGTGTGCATAGTAACCAACAATTTTGTGCCCGACTGCTTCCAACAACGACAAACTTTATTTCTGTTGGCAATTGTTTGCTTTGGCGCCTCCAGCAAGTGAAATAAACATTGACTGCATGCACATATTTCTGGATTGTTCCGGGACTAGTTTTTTGCTCACTAGTTTTTTTGTTCACTAGTTTTTTGTTCACTAGTTTTTTGTTCACTAGTTTTTTGTTCACTAGTTTTTTGTTCACTAGTTTTTTGTTCACTAGTTTTTTGTTCACTAGTTTTTTTGTTCACTAGTTTTTTGTTCACTAGTTTTGTGTTCACTAGTTTTTTGTTCACTAGTTTTTTGTTCACTAGTTTTTTGTTCACTAGTTTTGTGTTCACTAGTTTTTTGTTCACTAGTTTTTTGTTCACTAGTTTTTTGTTCACTAGTTTTTTGTTCACTAGTTTTTTGTTCACTAGATTTTTGTTCACTAGATTTTTGTTCACTAGTTTTTTGTTCACTAGTTTTTTGTTCACTAGTTTTTCAATTGCAACAATGGGGGACATTTCATTTGATTCACACTGGCACAAAAAGGAGCAAGTATGAGGAAATCTGATTTGGGTAATTTTTCTCCACGAAGACTATGAGACTAACCATTTCATAATCACTTCAGAAGTACATTAAAACTTTACTGAATTATATGTAATAAGTTTTATTTCACTTTGTCCAGAAAACTGAACAGAAGGACACAGGAACTTACACATGTCTTGCAGAAAATAAATTTGGAAAGGTTTCTGCATCAGGCAAAGTAATGGTCAGAGGTAATTCTATTGTTTAGTTTTCTCGAAAAATTTAAGATATTATAGAGGCTACTCATTCTGTATAAAATGTATCATCAGTGTTTTTTGTTTCTCTGCATACATAGTTTAATCCCTTACGGCTCAGTCTTTCCTCACAGAATAGCTAGCCACCTGCTAAGAGTGTCACACAGAGCACAACGTTCATAGCTCCGGGCCGCATTAGCGCAGTCGATAAGAGGCTCGTTTCAAATCCAGCTGCAACTCGCTGCTGCCCATGACTGGTTTTCCAAACCAGGCGGTTCTCGGTGTTCACCCAGCCTCTAGAAAATGGCTACCAGAGTTGACACTAAAGAGGGAAAATGGGAACATCTTGTGACCACTGGAAAGATTTATGGAAAGAGAGACAGAGGAAAAGAGCATGAGAACATTCTTGACAGCCTGTTGTCATGGCATAGAGGGGGTGTCTCACACAAACTGATACGTGCTGTTGCAGATTGTAGATTGTGGATAGGCATGATCACTTGGCAAGGCACTTGATGATGATGATGAGGTTGAGTTATCAATGTCCTTCTATCATTCTGCTTCTTTCTATTAGTGCTGATCAATAAATTTGTTTGTTTATTATATATAATGTTTCGACGGCTGAAGGGCTCCCCATCTGTTTATTTCTAAAGCCAGTGTATGCCATGTGTAGAGTAATCAATAAATATACGGTCAGTTGCCTGGTACTGAAAGAATGAAAAAAAAAAAAAATAATAAACTGGACATTTTTAAATAATCTTTTGCTTTCTCCTCCGTCTCCTTAGTTTAAAAAAAAAAAAAAAAAAAAGTAAAGATCCCTTTCACGCCTTTTAAGCGTATCGGGCATATGGGAAGAGCGCCCATATTTTTACAGACCATCGGCACTCGATGGGTAATGTGGTCAGCATTACGCCGGCTGTCTTTACTTTCCCAGGACAGCCCATCCTGGTACCCATTTAAGGCTGGGTCGACCTGCGACGTCCCATACCACGATAAAAATCCATGCAGCCCGCAGTGGGTTTCGATCGCGGTACGTTGGATTACGAGTCGGACTCGCAACGCCTTAGCCACGGACGCCGCTAGTTTTTACCATCTGAAATCTCGGGAATGAGGGGGGGGGGGGGGGGGGGAATTCCGGGTTGTTCATCCATGTCTAGACTTTGGTCTTGTTCCAGAACCACATCAGTTTTACACTGGTAGCTGACTTGTATGCAGACTTGGTTTTCCTCACTTCTCAGGCAGGGGCATTCCGACTTTGAGGGAAACACGCCTAACTAGTTAACTTTTATGACATGCTTGTTGATGTCCTCCCAAAACTGAGCCCTGGAACCCACATGGGGAGACAAATACCAAACACACCATCATCATCAGGTGCCTTGCTGACTGGCGTGGGCGATCATGCCTCTCTATAATCTGCGATCTCCTGCAGCATGTATTAATTCATGTGCTGACACACGTCCATGCCATGCAACAAGACTGGCAAGCATCTTCTCTCATTGTCTTCCTCTATCCCTCCTTCCATAGATCTTTCCAGTGGTCACAACATGTTCTAATTTCCCTCTTCTCATAACATGGCCGAAAAATGATGACTGTCTCCTTCTGATGTCTGTGATAAGTTGTCTTCGGGCTCCCGCCTCTTTCAAAACCTCTTGGTTGCTCTTTTTGGCTGTCCAAGGTATTCTAAGCATTCTTCTGCAAAACCACAGCTCTGAGGCCTCAAGAAATTGTTTGGCATGCCTTCCGATTGTGCAGGATTCACAGCCATATGTTAAAACTGGATGTATGTAGCAAGCAAGAATTTTTTTTCTAACTCTCAATGACATGGATATATTGCACAAGATGTTCTTCATTTTATAAAATGCAGTTTTTGCCTGTCCTATTCTTGAACACATTGCTTATCATAGATATTTATAAATTAAACTTTCATCATTTAAACAGTACAGACAGAGATCAATTAATATCTGCCATTATATTTCAGATAAAACCCGGATAGATACAAAACCGATTGATTCAAAGGTCGACTATACAAATCCTGTGATCTTTACTTGTGGAGCCAGTACAGATACAATGGAATCCAAGAATCTCAGGTAGACAATATTTAAATAACCTAAAAGATATCACTTTTTTAGGCTATTGGACATGCATAATGTGGAACAATCTTTTGTAACAATAATGTTTGATATTGTTGACCTGTTCATTTTGGATTCTTCCCTGATTCTGAAAAGTCATATTTGTTTGCTTTGATTTATTTCTCTGGTGTTGTATTTACTGATACTCCTCACTATCTTTGTTTTATCATGTGTTGGAATTTACTTCTTGATTAAAAAGACCTGGGTTATCTGGCAAACCCAGTTTGATTTCTTCTTTCTTATATCCATATTCTGCATTATACCGCTAGTCATCGCAGGTTCACAGATGATAGGTATCCGAGCTAGGGCATGCTCAAATGCTTGATATGCTGTGATGTTGTGGAGTCTCAAGTTATCAGTGACTCTTTCAATATGTCTTCTTCTTAGCATCCCCTATCTCTTGGTGTTTCTACTTTCCTGCTATACACTCTTGTTGCTGGCATCATTAGATTCATTCTCATTAAATGGCCAATCTATTTCAGTCTTTGTAAATGAATTTAATTAGAGGCTTTGTTATGGCTATATTTTAATACCTAACAAATGTTCTGGTAAGTAAAGGTGGCATCTCTGATGTTAACCATAGTATCCACTGAGTTCCAGCTTGTCTATAAAGATGTGGTGCTAGCACATTATATTCGATATGCCTTAAAGTGTGAAAAAGACCTTTATTTTACTTTTCCCCATGTGGATTCTGGGGTTCCATTTTGGACGGGGGGAAATACACCGCCCCCACACCCAAACAAACATGTCATGAAAGTTGATTAATTAGGGGTGTTTCCTTTGAATTTGAACTACATCTGCCTGTAAGGTTAGGAAACAGCAGTCTGCACATTCAAAAGCTAGATCTGAAAAAAAAAGGATGTGTATGTAAAATGCAAGTTTAGGAACAAGCCAAAATATAGAAATAGATGCAGAACCAGAACTATCCGTCAGAATTTACAGCTGATGGATGCAATGAAGAAGAAGATTTTACTTTACTTAACATTGTGAACACAATTTGATAGCATCAACTAATACGATAATAAGATAACAGATTTTTCTGATTTCAAAGAAGCAATTCTACAGCTGTTAATACTGAAAAAAAAAAAATAAAGTCAGGAAATGTGAACCAGCATCATTGCACACGGTTATAAACCATAAGTGGTCTGCCACCAGTATGGACAGCTGATAAGAAACCTGTGTTGCAGTCCACACGCAACTCCGTAGCTACAGCGACGCTCCTTCATTTACCCCTGAGTGTTAACTATGGTACCCATTTCCTAGAGGCTGGAAAAACCCCGTGAACCGCCCGGTTTTGAACACCGGATGTGGGCTGCAGTGAGTCGCAGCTAGATTTGAAAGCAAGTCCCCTATCAACTGTGCTAATGTGGCCCCTGTTAATATTGAGATTTGTGGAATTACGAGTGGTCAGTATTTGATAGTTTTGATGGAAAACTGTGTTTGGGGCTAATAGTGTTAACAGTGCCAGAAGGCATAAATATGCCAGAAGGCATAAATAAACATGCATGGGTAAATGAGGATTGTTCAATAATATTTTGATACAGATGTGAGACCTGGACAATGGCAGTGAAAGATCTTTTTCCTCCTCCTCCTCTTCTTCTTCCTCCTCTTCTCCCTTTTCTCCTCCTCCTGCACTTGCCTCAGCAAAAATGTTTTGGAGAAGATGTAAGGATCACCTGTTTGATCTTTCTAATGCATCATTTAGGCTGGAATTCATTGCTTTAAGGTTCCCTCTTTTTCACAGTTTTTCTCTTGCTCGCATTTCACCACACTTCTTCATCTTGGCTCTCTATGAAAATTGAAACCAGAAAATTCTCATACAAGATGAAAGCAGAATTACAGACACTAAACTAGGAATGCATTTACAGAATACTGAATATGACAAAATGAAGCAAAAGCAGAAATGACGACATCAGAAATTAATCATCAACTCTTGTTTTTTGGGGGGTTTTTTTTTTTCAAGAGATGAGAAACAGACTGAGTGGGAGACACCACAAGCAAGGAATTAGTGAAACAGCACAATGAACACCAATTTATACACAGCCAGACATGGTCCTTGAATAGAAATCCCTTCTCAGCCTGATGCTGAAAGGTAGAACAGGGACAGTGGAATGGAGGAGCTAATCTAATAAAATCCCATCCCCACTGCAGGCTTCTTTGTAACTGTAAGGGTACCCTAAGTTGTAAGGGTACCCTAAGTTGTAAGGGTACCCTAAGTTGTAAGGGTACCCTAAGTTGTAAGGGTACCCTAAGTTGTAAGGGTACCCTAAGTTTTAAGGCTACCCTAAGTTGTAAGGGTACCCTAAGTTGTAACGGTACCCTAAGTTGTAAAGGTACCCTAAGTTGTAAGAGTACCCTAAGTTGTAAGGGTACCCTAAGTTGTAAGGGTACCCTAAGTTGTAAGGGTACCCTAAGTTTTAAGGCTACCCTAAGTTGTAAGGGTACCCTAAGTTGTAACGGTACCCTAAGTTGTAACGGTACCCTAAGTTGTAAGAGTACCCTAAGTTGTAAGGGTACCCTAAGTTGTAAGGGTACCCTAAGTTGTAAGGGTACCCTAAGTTGTAAGGGTACCCTAAGTTGTAAGGGTACCCTAAGTTGTAAGGGTACCCTAAGTTGTAAGGGTACCCTAAGTTGTAAGGGTACCCTAAGTTTTAAGGGTACCCTAAGTTGTAAGGGCCTAAGTTAACTGTGTACAATTGGACAGAGTTTCTAGGATTTGCTGCTGTGTGATTATCATTGATGAACAGCAATCCTGAAGAAGAACAATGACCGGCAAATAAATTGATAGTAATAATAATAAAAATGGCAATATGCTACCACGAACATTCCCATAAAGGGAAAGAAGAAGATTACATTGAGTGCAGCTGTATTAAAAAGTCAGTAGTCAGGGTGTGTATCAACTGTTTTAAACCATGTCATAGCATCTTTTATCGAATGTGTGTGTTTTATTTGTTCAGAATTCGCTGGTTGAAAGATGGAGTAGAAGTTAAGCCTAGTAACAGAATTTTCATAAATGGAGGTGTTCTGACCATCAATGAAACAAACAGTAAAGACACAGGAAATTATACATGTCTTGCAGAAAATGGGTTAGATAATGCCACGGCTACAGCATCCCTGGAGGTCAAAGGTCAGTTTACTTTTGAAATGTTTTATGTATAGTTTTTCTCTTACATTTTGGCATTTTTTAAACAAATGAATTGATACAACTGTCTAGGAAAAGTCATAACATCTCACAAGCATGTTGTGCAGAGATTAGAACCAGAATCTCTATTGCAAAAATAGCCTTTAGCAAGATGCAAAAAATATTCACTAACAAAACAAAATGTCAATTGCATAAGATAAAAAGTGTTAAGGTACTGTAAAGAACCTGTGTTGATATATGCATATGAGACACATAAAATAAGATAAGCTGAAGACTTACTCACAGCTGTGATGTGGTTTTTGAGAAGAATGCAGTGAATATCATGGAATAATAGATTAAAAAATAAAAAAAGTTTTTTTCTGAGTCAGTTAAAAACTGTAAACTGATTAAGGAAATTAGGGATAGACAGTCCAGGTTTTTCAGGCAGACAATGAGATGGAATAGGCTCAAGAACTATGTGAAAACTGGCAAAAAATGTCAAGGTGAGAGGATCAACTTCATTACACTGGGTTTTATATACCATATGGCTCAGTCTCTCTACACAAAACATCTGGCTGCCTGCAGAGAATGCCGTACAGAGCACAGACTCTGTAGCTCTGATGACAATCCTCAGGGATCTCCATAAAAACTGCACTCATGAACTGAACAGCGCTGCCGTGAAATGAACCTATGACTTTCAGAGTGTGAGGCAAATGCCACTTTGCCACAGAGACCCCGTACCTGGCAACATTGATGGAAAAAAGTGCAAGGGGCAGACAAAGAGAAAAATACCTGGCTGACTGAGCCATATGGATGGGGTGAGACAAGTTAAAAACATGACTGCCTACCCTGATTAGTAAGGCTCATGAGGCTGCTGATGATGAAGATGATTATTGTCTATGTAGACATTTCAGGAAAATGAATGGCAGAACCTAGTCATGTTAAATGTGTTCGAAAAGTTACTGTAAAGGAGCCTTTTTCCTGGCCATTTTTAGCACATTTTTCTTTCCTTTATCACCCAGTGGAGCATCAACTCACATCAGGTTACCTTGTCCTTTCCTGTTGCATGCAACTCACCACAAGGCCTTCCTGTCTTTTCAGCTTCATTCTCTAGCTCCCTCCTCCATGTGTTTTTAGGTCTGCCTTTATGTCTATGCCAGTGTAGGTTCTAGTGCAAAGACTTTCTAGTTATATTATTTTCAGGTTTTTTCAGTCTCTCCATCCAATGCCAGTGTCTCTTCTTCACCTGTTGATTTACCAGAACTTGTGTAGTTATCTACCAATACTCAGCTTTAGTGATTCTATCATACCATATAATTCCCTCTGTTCTGTGCAGGTACCAGTTAATGAATGTTTGTAGTTTATTAGTAACTGTTTTAGTTGTTACCCATATTTTTGCTTTTTACAGCAGTACCTCATCTTCTTCTTCTTCTTTCGTTCACTTAAAATAAATTATCTATATCTGCAATGTTTTTGTTTTTGTTGTTGTTCAAAGTTTACTTTTTTTCTCCAATATTTCTGGTGTTACTTCAAGGGTTGACTTTTTCAATCCCAGGGGCTTAGCATCAGAGGCTTTAGGGGTGATAAAGAGAGATGTATAATCGGCGCAGCTTGTGTTCACTTGGCTTCTAGGTAGGGACCAATGAATGTATGATGCGTCCCTTGGGACTAAAAGATTTAACATAATTAAAAAATCTGAAAGTAAACACAAACACAGAACACACACAAACACAGAACACACACAAACACAGAACACACACAAACACAGAACACACCCAAACACAGAACACACCCAAACGCAGAACACACACAAACACATACAACCAGCTGATTGTGATCAACAGCTTCAATCAATCCCAACTTGCCATTTTGGTGGCGGCTGTTGGTGTTGGCACCTGTAGTGACTGCCTTATGAATTGCCTGTGTTTCTGAATTTTTCCAGGATGAATTGTTTGTTCAATATCTTTAAAACTTGGATAGACAAATGTAAAGACAATAATTTCCTCATTGTTCACAGCCATTCCTGACCCACCCTACAATGTATCAGTCAAGGAATGCTTGTCCACCAAGGCCACCATTGAGTGGAAGTTTGATGACAAAATGAGCAACTTTGATGTTATGATTAAGTTCATTGTGGAGTACAGCACAGAGTTCAAACCTGGCGTGTGGATGGAGATGGTCTCAGTGGACTACAATACAAAAAGAGTCACTGTGGACCTGTCCCCGTATGCCAAGTATTCCTTCCGGGTCAGAGCCATCAACATGATGGGCACTAGTGAACCGAGTGAGCCCACCAGTGGCTGGTGTGAGACACCCATGTCTGTGCCAGACAAGAACCCAGAAAATGTGCACACTGATGAGAGTTACACAGGCTTCTTGGTTGTGAAGTGGAATGTAAGTTTTTTTTTTTAATTTGTAAATATCATCTTCAATGTTTTTCCTGTTTCCATTGGTACTGTAATAGTTTTCTCTCTCTCTCTCTCTCTCTCTCTCTCTCTCTCTCTCTCTCTCTCTCTCTCTCTCTCTCTCTCTCTCTCTCTCTCTCTCTCTCTCTCTCTCTCTCTGTTCCTCTCTATCACCTTCCACCTACCTGTGCAAAAAAAAAAAGTATAATTATATGTATTGTGTGGGCGCATATGTGTATGTATGCACATGCTTGTGTATAAATGTGTTCAGATACACCATATGTGTGTGTGTATGCGTTTGCATGCATACTCAAATGTGTACATGCTCGCTCACATGGATACATGCATAACGCACACCTGCATGCACATATACACATGCTCACACACAGTACATTTCTGGTAAAGTATGGCAGAGGCAGGAATTCCTGTAAAGTTTGTTGTTGTTATTGGCTACTGAGTCTAAGCTACTAAACTAAGTGATTAGTGCAACAATGTGAGCTGTGTATTTCATGTAGAATGTAATTTCTCTGTGCCTACAGATGTTTTGTGTTATGATATTTTGAAAAAAGCTGGTGGCCGGATTACATTCAAACTGGCCAAGTGTTAAAAGGAAATGACCTTTTTGCAAGCCTTTAGGCGTATAGGACATATAGGGCTAGACCTACATTATATAGACCAACAGCACAAGATGGGTGATGTGGTCAGCATCACGTCGGCCGCCTCTACTTCCCGGCAGTAACACATTTCCAGTAAAGCTGGAACCTCAGCTACAACTACTGTACACAATAAAGATACTTTTATCAAATCATCAAATAGCTTGCCCTGCAGAGAACTTTATCTCAATAAGTCTTTCAAAATTTGCATCTATCATAAACCACACATATCCCTTATTCTGGAAAACTTGAATCTATCTCCATTTTGGTCTTTCTTTTCTCTGCTTCAATAAAAACCTCCCTATATGATTATCTTCTGCAAACTTTGAAGTCCTTTTTTACTTGTCGAAAACACTTTATAATTCTCAATTTAATTGTTATTAATAGCCAACATTCTTACATTTTTGTTTAAATTTTGTTTTATCAATAGACGTATTTATTGTCTTTTCCATCTATTAATTAGGACTGTACTGTATCTAATACATTCAAAGATATTTATGTGTATTTCGGCTGCTGTGTTAAATGAACACATTTCACAACTGCACTATGTAGCCACAACAAATATGCTCAATCTAAATACTCTATTCTTTTTTGGGGGGGATATTATTTGCACAACAAAGAGGGTAATTTGTCATTGCTTTCCTTCTTGGTAGAGATCATACTGGTCGGTAACCAAAGATACTGCCTCATACACTGCACTCAAATGATTCAGTTACAAACATATCCTTTTGAGAATGAGGTGAAGAGTTGGAATTTACCACAGATTGCTGTGATTTTCTAAACATTGTATGCTATATTGTAGAAAATGGTGGGGGGGGGGGGGGGGGGGTCTTACTTATCTTTTACACTGAAGAATGTGTTTTATAGTATACATTTGCATGAAACATGATTGTTAGATTACATTGATTGTATGCTGTATTTTTCTTTTCAGCGTGTAGAACAGATAGATCATAATGGTCCTAATTTCCGCTATGTGGTGGAAGTTCAAGAGCAAGGTACACAGGAGTTGCAGATTTTTGAAGTGAATGATTACAGAATTACTGAGAAACACATACCAGTGGAAAATATCTTTAGGTTAGTAATGGTATGCTATGGTGTTAGGAAATGGTGTGAATGTTAAGTAAAAGAAGGGAAACACAATGGAAGAGTCATTTGTGACCCAAAAAAAATGATAAAACAAGATGATGATGATGAAGTAAAGAATTCTTTTCACTCTTCATGTCTCAAGTGTACAGTGTAAGACTAATATTTGTATAGACCAGATAGTGCTCCGTAAGTGATGTCATCAGTATTGTGCTAGCTGCCTTTACATCCCAGGATATTTTCTGGCACCAATTTTGCAGAATTTCTTCTCTTTGGTGTTCACTAGCTGTAAACTCTGGCAGAAATTTCTAGTTGTTCATCCACTTCTTAACTGTAAACTGGTACCGGACCTTTTGAGTTCCTTATGCACATATCCATTTTACATAACTTCCCTATCTGTATGCAGACTGTTGGTTCCTCACCTCTCAGGCAGATGCACTCTGACTTTGAAGGAAACACCTAGCTCGTCAACTTTTATGGCTTGCTTTTTAAAAGGGTGGAGGAGTGGGTCTGTTCTTTTCTCTTTTATTTTTTCCCCCTAAAATAGTGTCCTGAACCCATACAGGGTTTGTAACCGTTAGCTAGTCAACAAATTGCCCAAAGTCTTCAAGGCTGTGTTGTTTGATAAAGAATGTCTGCAGAGTTGGTCCCCAACATACAAAGAATGCTTTACTGTGAGGAAAAGGGTAAGTTAAGAAAGTAGGTAAGTAAGAACATATGAGTCTTTGTTGATACATAATACACTCAACAAAGGCATTTTCAGCTTTGCGTGAAACTTTCATTATCGAAAATAACTTTCTATGCTGTATTTTGTTTATACAAAAGCCAGAATATGCTTTTTATCTGAGTTTCATAGCTTGAGAACACTCAGAGAAGAAGCATATCCTTTTTTTTTTCAAGGACATTTGAGTGTGGGTGTTAATGAGTAGGCTGAGAGGTTAGCTGCTGCTGCCCTTCTGGGAGATCAGCCACTTAATGACAAAGGGGATATTGTGAAGGATCAAGTACAGGATCTAGCTCTACAGGATCAAGTACAGTGCAAAATGAACAGACAGACCATCCATGTCTGGAGAGAACGATTCAGCTGGAAGTCTGGACAATTTTTTACCCAAAAGGAAAAAATAGGCAAACTTTTAATCAGGCTGTTCATGGCACCGTCTGTACGTGAAGTCTGTTGGTTACTGAGGAAGGGGATGAAGCACATGTGGGAATGTCCTGAGTTAAGGGATGTCAGCTGGGGACTGAGCCTCGAGAGGTAGGGGGTATGAAGTGTTGGTGTTGTGGGTAGTGGTTGTTTTTCTCCCCTTACTTTACCCTAGGTCTAGTGAATATCTGTTCATGAAAGAAGTGCCCATTGAGGTGTCAGGCTCTTGAACTAGCATAACCTCTCTTACCCCAAGACCATTGTGCGTGGTGAAGAGCCACGCCCTCCCCGAGGTAGTCCTGGTAACTGGGGGTGCAAATCCCCAGGCAAAACACCCATGGATCTAGATGAGCAAACCTCGATAATAAACCTGGTGCACCACACTGTACTGCCCCCTGTTTGAGGAAAGGAGCCGGAGGTGTGCTGAACAGTCTTAGGAGTGGAAACAACTAAGGCACAGGGACTCAGGATGTGCCAATCCAGCTGCCCCAACTACTCATGCTTAGGCCATGCTTAGAGCCACTAAGAGCTCAGCAAAACCAACAGGCAATCTGGTGGCGGGGAATGAGCACACTGTGAGTCCCATCTTAGCTACATGTCAAAGGGGAAGGCAGAAACACAGCCCATATTTCCTCTAGAACTGGTACAGGGCATTTTCTGGCTGCTGCCTGGGAAGGTAGGTAATCCACAGACACCCCAGCACCACAATGCCATAAATATAAAAGAGTCAACAGCAAGGGATGTCAGTTCTTTATTCATTTATTCATTTGCTGATAAATTTATTTGGTATACAATGAGTAAATTTTCAGAGTATATTTATTGTCTAATGCATAAGTTAGTATTATACAGCACTTACTGTGTTTTTCAGACCATACCTTATAAAAGTGAGGTCTGAGAACCAAGTTGGCAAGGCAACAAATGATCCAGTAACCTACATTGGTTATTCTGGGGAAGCCCGTAAGTTTTCTGAAATGATTAATTATATACATACTAAGTAAAGTGAAGGACCCTTTTCCACGCATTCAGGTGTATTGGGCATGTAGGGTGTCAGAAACCTAACTGTCTAGGGCTCGATTCCATTGGCTCTGCTATAGGCCAATGACAGGAAAACACCGTACAAACACACTCAAGCCAAACACTTGTTGCAACACACACACAATCTTTATTACCAAAGATGCAAACGAAGTGGTGGTACACCTCAGGAGGAGTAGCGCTCCTTATTCAAAACCCAGGCCGCGTCTAACTTTAAAATCGCTTAGAGGCGCCTTTACACGTTTATGAACTAAGCTCTGAGCCGCTACCACTCTCCCGTACAGTGCCAGCTCAACCCGCTATATCTCGATGCCAAAGACGTTATGGCATGCGCCAATGTGTAGGCCTAAGTGCGTCGACAGTGTTAACGCCACCAGCAAAGCATGGTCTGGCTTCTAGTTACAACTATTACTTTACATGAAACTATGAACAGAACACGTTACATCTAATCACTACGCTGGTACCTATCTTCATGTCCAAAAACAAACGGTCAGTCAAAAATCCACTCTCGTCCCACGTCCAGTTTCCTAGCAGTCTCCCAAGCAAGCGTTCAGCGTCCGGTCCAAAATGTGCACACCCGTGCGAAGTCCGCTCATGCTCGTTTCTACGTGTGTATGCACGTATTGAGTGTCACTAAGGGTCGCAGGGTACGATGACGAGATTCATCATCATCATCCTGAACTGTCCCATAGCAGGGCGAACCCTGACATCCACCCCTCCTTTTGGACAGATACTTCCTGATGACAGACGTCTACCTTACATATCTACGTCTGGAGTCAAGTATCTCTACCTGGGTATGGGATGTCGACAGAATTGTGTCTACATTCAGTTCAGTGCATCTCCGGATATCCTGCTTTCTTCCCCCAATTATTGTCACAAACAGTCATGAAAGTTCCTATCAACATAGATTTGAGATGTTTCCTAATGAGAGTCAGTCACCTGAGAACAACGTATCTTTACATCCTTATGGGACATGTACATATACAAGGACAACACTAAACCATGAAGTTACCAATAGTATCACAACATGTCACAAGTACGCCACTACTAACCAACACTTTGTAGTCATAGAGGTTAAGACTGATTATATAATATTGTGGGTGGACTATTAACCGTCCGGGACCCACATGAACCCAACCCCACTCTTGTGCGAGTTGTACGCCATTGAGAACATAACAATGGTCGTCATAGACATGACCCTTCTATGGTTCTAACTAAGTCATCCCGACTCCTTGACATCCCGTCAAAAAATGTGTCTAAAATTAACTAGCAATACCTGCCACTGACACATGTCATACCTCTAGACATATAGTGTAGTATATAGAAACACAAGTGTGGCCTGTACGACACATTTGCAACAATCATGGACAATGTCACCTGTAACATGAAACTTCCCTTAATGTACAAGGTTTCTATCACCTTCATATATACTCAGTGATCTCTCCTCTGGAGCGACAATCTCTTCTAACAATATTTAAGTTTCAAATATGGTTTATAAGTTTCTTATTTAAAAACAAAAATAAAATAAATAACCAAATTATTGTCAAACAAAATCTACTACAAATTTACATAATTACCAAAACCAACGAAAAAAAAAAAAAATACAAATTATTTCAAATAATATGTTACCACGTCGTGTCCTATTGTCAAAAATATTATTTAGCTACCTAGTCTCGACCTTATATAATAATTTCCTATTACATAAAAAATACTATGTGTAACTAGTTGACTATTGCGGTGCCATCCACAGAACCCAAATGTGTGGTTGACCTCTCAACAACCAACATGTCACATTTAACTTACAATTACTCCCGGAGAAATGTTAGAAATGCAAACCTGCAAAATTTTATACGTTATAGTTTAACTTTAACGATTAGGAGAAAATGGAAAAATTACGTATTGAAAACCAAAAAAGAAAATCACCAGAGAAAAATTACATTTCCAAGCTGAAAAATCAACCCAAAAATTACATTTTAGAAATAAATAATGTGTACATCCAATTTGCAATATGAATACAAAATATTTCACAACAAGACATAGATATCAAAGATGAATCTGATGAATCAGATGTATAACCTTCAATATGTAACAAACCAAACATATTACACTATCACAATTAACACATAACATATAGAACATGTAATGGCTTAAACATAATATGTTAATTCACGATCACATAACATTGATAACATTTAACGAATAGAATATAACGTATGTAATCAACTGAATTTATCAGAATATGATCACATTTAACATAAATTTATCGTAGTGACGTGAATATTTCTATAGTCCCCACGTGTCATTTGTCCTTTCATTCACTTTTAATGTACATTCACTCATCAGTCATACTCTAAGTTGACGATGATCCAGTCGCTGATGTCCAGATCCACTGTCATTGACGATTCCACTTTTGTTGCCATAATAATTTGAATTCCAGTGTGTTTAAACGATTAAGTTGAATGCTTTCAGTGTTCAATGAGTTCAGTTTCCTTGAATTGAAATCTTCTGCTGTATATTGTTCTAACGAATATTCACTTCGCCTTGAATTCTAGAATGATGCCTTTGAAATTTAGAATGTCATATCAGATAAGATCTTGCAACTGTAAGAGTTCACATTATTGCTTGAAGGAGATCCATCTAGTTTTGCCACATTTTTGGTATTTCTGCAATATGAACAGTTCTTTCCTGAAACGTCTAGCACAAAGTCGATAAGTAAATATGTTACTGAAATGTTCTTGCTGTAGGTAAGCTCGGTTTAATGAGTCTTTCACAATGCTGGTTTTTGGATGCAGTACCTAATCATCTGGCTGTTTGTGTATTTGTATATTATATCAGATGAAGCATTGATGTGGAAAATGATGAACATAATATTGAAGTGTCTGTTGGTGTCATCGTTGACTATTTTCAAAAGGATAAATTATTTTCCCATTTCTGAATAGGATATTGATATGTCTGTACTAGTTGAACATTTAGTATTCAACTTTCGAATGCAATCTTGTTAATCTGCAACTGATGAAAATTTTGTATCAGCAGTAGGTTTACTGCATCATTGACTTCAGACATGGAGACAATATATCTTTTCGATCTGCAATAAAAGTTGTTGAATACTGTATAATCATCATAGATCGAAGATGTTTCTGTCTTGTACAGTAGAGTTGTGGATATTGACGTCATAGTCATCATAGACGACTCAACAGATCAGCCGAATTGTAGATAATATTGATGTGGGTTATTTCAAACTTGTTCTTTAAAAGTAGTGCCCACTTGGCAATCAAGTTGTTTTTAGGTACTGGTTCACACGGTCTGCAACAATATCTGTGCTGAATAAAGGCAACAGTTTCTTGTAAGATTGCAACAGCAAGGTACATACTATTGGGTGCTGTTTTGGCTTCGCCATGACATAGGCATCTGCTAAACTGTAATACATCGACGAAGGGTAACTCTCCTTTAAATGGGTACGCTTCTGGTTGCTTCAAACAGACCGCACTTCTTATACTGTTCACGCTGGATCTGGGGATGGAAGTCAATTTAAATTGAGACAATTTTAAAATTGGGGAACTGGAGAGCAGTGTCTTGATCCTGGCGAAGGCCTGGTCAAGTTCAGTATTCCATTCAATCAGGTTGGAGGATCCCTTTTTCAAATGTTTCGTATAGGCAACCGTTTTATGACTAACATTTGGGATGAATTGACTGCACTTAATGAGCCCAAGTAAGCTTCGGATTTCCTTTTTCTGTGTTGTGGGATTTGTCAGGTTCCAAATATTTGGAATAATTTTCTCATCCCTCTGCAGTATTCCCTTAAAAGTGTTATGCCCCAAAAATTTAAATTCATGAAAATCAATTTTGATCTTGGAAGGTTTAACTGTCAAACCAGATTGTTTACCACGCTCAAAAGCAGTTCTGAGCGTCTTTACATAACTAACAACATTTTGAGAAAAAACATTTACTAACTTTTTCATTTGATAATAATATGCAAATGTCTTTGTAGGTAAGACATTATCAGACACTTTTAATAGCTTCCAAGACGTTTCGGAAACACTACTGGGTTTTACTGTTTGTTTGTCTGTGGGACCTTCTTCAGGTTCATCAATTAAACTGCATGCAATTTGCTCTTCACGCTGCTTATATAGTTTTAACATGTTGATGTGATATATCTTTAATTTTCCTTTATATAATATTTGATAATCGACGTCTGAAATGCGTCTTGTAACTTTAAATGGACCTTGCCACACTACCGATAGTCTGTCAGTAGGACTGGGGAGAAGTAGTAATACGTCGTCGTTTTCTGCAAGAGTAATTGTTTTGGCATTTTGATTTGCATACTTGCGATAGATTATTCCTGCTTGGTCTAAAGACTGCCTTGCGATAACACATGCATTCATGATCTTATCCCTTAAGTTAGTCACCATATCATACTCACTAACAGTTGTGGTGTCTGTGACCCTTCCCACTAATGACTCATTGTAGATGGATAAGGGTCCCCTTGGGTTTGCACCATAAACAAGTTCGAACGGGGAAAATCCAGTACTACTTTGTGGAACCTCTCGGTAGGCAAATAGAATGGCTGGCAACATTATGTCCCAGTCTGTTGGTTTTTCTGCTGTTACTTTTGCCAGCATTCTTTTTAGATTTCCGTTTAGATTCTCACATATCCCATTTGCTGCTGGGTTATATGGACTTGTGAAAACTTGGTCAATGCCCATCAATTTATTACAGTGTTGCATTGCAGAGGATATAAACTGGTGCCCCTGTCTGAAAGAATCTCGTTGGGAAAACCAAACCTAGCAAACCATTGAAACAAGACTTCTCCTACATCTTGAGAAGTGATGTTCTTAAGTGGTGCAGCTTCTGGCCATCTACTACAAAAGTCGACCATTGTTAGGATGTATCTATTTCCTTTATGGGAGACTGTATTTAATGGGCCTACGAGATCTATTGCCACTTTCTGAAATGGTCTTTCGGCCAGGTCAGTTGGTTGAACCAAGGCTTTCCTCTGTTTACCCTTTTGTATCATGGTCTGACACAAGTGGCATGATTTGCAATAGTTTTTTACGCTTTTGCAAAAGCCTGGCCAGTAGAACTCGTTGAGAAGTCGGCACTTAGTCTTCTCAGTTCCCATATGTCCTGCTAATGGCGAGTCGTGAGCCAGTTCTAGCGCTTTCTGTCTGTAAGCAACGGGTAGTACCGTCTGGTTAAGTGTATGTACCCCTTTATTGTAGAATCGGGTGAGGATACCATTTTTAAACCCAAAAGACCACTGTCCCTTTTTTGAAATATTTTTAGACCCGTCTGCAACTTGTAAACATTTTTTTAATGTTACATCATCTCTTTGCTTTGAGATGAACTCATCTGTTACATTTGGTTGATCAGAATGAGCAAGGTTTAAAATATTATCCATTCTCTCACGCTTTCTAGCATCATTCTCTCGAATTGTTTTGCTGCCCTGCAACAACATCACACTGTTTTCAACTTTTTTTCTTCACTTTGGGTTGGGTCTGTGCTAGCACTGCTGGTACATAATGAGTCCTTTCCCACTCCTTTCTTTATTTCTTTCACGGTACAGCTTTTGGGGTTTTCTTTCCCTGCAATGATCACGTCTGCGGGTGGTTTTCTACATGCAAGTACTTCTATTCTCCCACAAAGAAATGGGGATTCAACCTTCACCCTAGCTATTCTCAACTCACATTTCTTGTTTCCTAATTTGTATGCTATTGTTTCCCCTGTGTAATCTGGCTCCTCCAATAAGGACTTTCTAATAATTGAAAAAAAATGTGCAGATGTTCTTATCACTGTACCTGGTTTGCCGTTTATGATACCTTTACTGCTTTCCCTGTGGGTTTCAGTGTTGTATGCTGCCATTAATCTTTCGTGTGGTATTGTCTCGTCATCTGACAGCATTGTATCATTGCTAGGCCATGATGTCATCTCGAAAGATGCCTTTGGCAAACACTCTTTTACCTTACTGGAGACATCTGCTACGCCAGCTCCACCAGTTGGTTCATCATTGGGAACTTTTGTGTTTGATGGACCTATCTTTTCACAAGTCTCTTCTAATTGGCCCTCTTGTACTTTGCTGCATTCATTTGCCACACCATCTGTATTGACCACTTTCTGTTTGGGTGGTTTATCTACTCCAATTATCTTTGGTGGTTTATCTGCTTCTTCGTGATCAGAGGTGATTTCTGTCACCACATTACTTTGTTCTTGGGTTCTGTTTTCGGTACCCGGACAGATAATTTGGATGTTACCAATTTTAATTTTATGTGGTGTCATATGCTTACCCTGCTGTAGCATACGATCACACAGTGTGCAATCACTTTTAGGATGTTCAGTAAACTCTGATGCTGTCTTAACTGCAGTTACTGTTTCGTCACCATATCCTCTAAGGTATTTTAAACCTGGGCATTGTGCCCGGCAGTGCCCTTTAAATTGACACAAGAAACAGGTTTTCGCCCACTGTTTTGTCGATGCTTTTGTTAACAATAAGCCATTTATCTTGACTATCAATCTCTCAGGGTACATAGGGTGTTTATCACACATCTTGGTCTTACTGTGCAGTAAATCACAGTATACACAGACAGAATCATCAGTATTATTTTCAGGAATATTACTATTCTTATCGTTCTGCTTTCTGTTCCTATGTTCCTTTAAATAGGCCCCATATAATGGACTAGCATCACACATCTGAAAAGCTCCATGGTGTTTCTTGCAGTAGGGACAAATTATTATCTTTCCCTTGTCTATTTTATGTTCACACTTTCTACTCTTACATTGATCTTCTGGTTGGTCACATGGATGGGATGGTATATCTCTTTCAGATCTTCTCTTTTTCAAATTTTGAGTTTTTCTCTTTATTATCTTTTGAACATGTTGTGCAAATTCGGGATTTTCATCACACCATTGCCATCTACCATGTTCCCTTTTACAGTGGACACATGTCACTAGTGGACCCTTTTCTATATACCTTCTTGGCATATTGAACAATGAAACAGTTGCAAGTAAACAATCAAATCAATACAAGCAAACCAAAACAAAATAACGTATATAAATACGATCACGAAATACCCGCACTATATCTATTGGAAAGGGAGAAAATTATAATCGCGAATATCCGAACTAAAACCGGACCTATAAATGTAATCTCGAATTAATCCGAGAACTAAACACAAATTTACAGTGTAATATTCAATAAAGAATATCACAAATCACATCATCACAGTAATACGACAACAATTGTTAAACAATTTGGATGTACACAGTTCGAAAAATATTGGATCAGGAATCCGAAGAATACTTCTTACAATTGTAGATGATGGGTGATGACTGATGTGTGTGCGACAAAAAAATTTTTTTTTTTTTTTCCAAAACACAAAAACAACAATAGGACTGATGAGAAAGGATAGCCAAGAACGATAGATAATGAACGGCGCCGATCAACCAACTAGATCGAGAAGGAATCTCACGGACTGGAGAACTGACCAGGACACAAACACCAAAATCAAAACAACAAAAACTTATCTGCACTCCAGTCTGGGAGACATGGCCGCCAAAGAACACGTGGATGTTGATGACACACTTGATGATGACGAGGACGACAGGCCTCGATGACTTCTTGGACTTGCACACCGCAACTTGTAAAACAATCACACTATGTCTATCTGTCTATGTCGTCCTAAATCCCTATCCGTCGTCACGACACAATCCTAACACATACAGTTATTACCTCTAATCACATACAGTCATGTTAAACAACAAACATGTAGACGGACTAACAATAAATTCCCATTTCACCTATCAAAAATATTTACGGAAAAACAAATACCTAACCTTTCCTATCAGCTATTGACTAAGCACGTTGGGTTCCCACAAAATCCACGGTAAGAGCTCCCCACTTTCCTGTCAGAAACCTAACTGTCTAGGGCTCGATTCCATTGGCTCTGCTATAGGCCAATGACAGGAAAACACCGTACAAACACACTCAAGCCAAACACTTGTTGCAACACACACACAATCTTTATTACCAAAGATGCAAACGAAGTGGTGGTACACCTCAGGAGGAGTAGCGCTCCTTATTCAAAACCCAGGCCGCGTCTAACTTTAAAATCGCTTAGAGGCGCCTTTACACGTTTATGAACTAAGCTCTGAGCCGCTACCACTCTCCCGTACAGTGCCAGCTCAACCCGCTATATCTCGATGCCAAAGACGTTATGGCATGCGCCAATGTGTAGGCCTAAGTGCGTCGACAGTGTTAACGCCACCAGCAAAGCATGGTCTGGCTTCTAGTTACAACTATTACTTTACATGAAACTATGAACAGAACACGTTACATCTAATCACTACGCTGGTACCTATCTTCATGTCCAAAAACAAACGGTCAGTCAAAAATCCACTCTCGTCCCACGTCCAGTTTCCTAGCAGTCTCCCAAGCAAGCGTTCAGCGTCCGGTCCAAAATGTGCACACCCGTGCGAAGTCCGCTCATGCTCGTTTCTACGTGTGTATGCACGTATTGAGTGTCACTAAGGGTCGCAGGGTACGATGACGAGATTCATCATCATCATCCTGAACTGTCCCATAGCAGGGCGAACCCTGACATAGGGCTAGACCTATATTTTATAGACCAATCTGCACTAAGTGGGTGATGTGGTCAACATCATGTAGACTGCATTTGCTTCCCAGGATTTTATCTGAAACCCATTTAAGGCTTGGTTTACATTAGAACCTGAACCCACGACCTTGGGAATCACAGATTAGTGTCTAACTGCTACACCACAGCAGCTCAGATATACACACACACGTGCACACATGCATGAGCATGCACACATGTGCGTGTACACACACACACACACACACACACACATGTGCACACATATGCATGCACACACACACACACTCACATATACTCACACAAACTCACAAAGCGTGTGCGATTTTAGGTAAGGCTCAAGGTTTCAAATGACAACTACATGGCAACTGCTTGGGCAAACACCTTAATTTCTCAATTTAGGAAAAATATATCTTTTTAGATACACACTAGCAACAGTACTAATGCAAACTGAAAACATATATACAAAGTTGAAGAATGCTTTCATAACTTCTTCATTTCATAACTAAAGAATCCTACGACAGAAGTTACTGCATGCCACATGAGGTATGGTCATATAAAGAGAATAGAAGCAAGTATTGTATCCAGATTTTTTTATGTTGTTATTCACTGACCAAATATGGAAAGTAAAAGAACATTATGTCTGAGATACCAGCAACAGCCATGTGCACCCATTGCAAATTGCTTGGTATAGAAGAATTAGCATTTATTGCTGTTTATTTCTGAAATTAACCAAAAATAAATTACTTCAGGTGTATGATATGGGCAGCATCTACTTGAATGTTAAGAATGCTCAATCTGTTTGATTTGGAAGATCTGTGTTCAGTTTCTGAGGGAAGCTATGGGATTATTTTCTGTCAGGAGCAGAAATACATTTCTAACCTTCACAGATTGTGTCGACTACATCCATAACTCCTCAGGCTAAAAATTACTCATCTTACACCATCATAAAAAGAAAAAGAAAAGTTGAATGATAATGGAGGTAGATCACAGTATTTTCAGAAATAAATAATTATATAATTTCCAGCACCACTGGTGGTTCCTGAAAACTTTGAGCTGGACCCAGATGTGAATATCACAGCAATAAGTGCCAGCTTCAGGTGGGACCCTGTTGATACCAGTCCAGAGTTGATCAGAGGAGAGTTCTCAGGTTATAAGGTATGACCAGTTAACTTGTTTAGTGTCAGATGGATGCCTACTATTGTAGCCAACTGTGTATTATCCTATTACCTATCACTGCACGGGGTGATTCTTCAGAGGGCCCATATTTAGTATTATCTCCTTCAGAACAGGGGTTTAGTATCAGATAACCAAGAGATGATAATGGTATTTTATGAAATTTTACACATGTAATATGAGCTGACAGCAGTAATGGTGGATTTTAATGCAATGGAAGGAAGTGAGAAAGTGGGGTGTAAGAGAGCTGTTGGAATAGAAAAATAAAAAAAAATTACACATCTGAAGGAAAATAGAGAAAGACTAGCTGAATTCTGCATGCAGTCAGATCTAATAATTGGAGGCACTGTCTTCACTCATTAGAAGATTCATAAATTAATGTGTTAATAAAAGATATGAATGCTTTTTTGATAGACTAAGCATACAAAGGAACAAGTGTGTTCAGTTACAACACTCATTGTACAGGAAACCTGAAGCTAAATTTGAAAACAGCTACTAAAAACGTGTGGATAAAACAGAATATGTGTTTACAATCAAAGATTTGACAAATGAATAGAAAAGAAGAACTCTAGCCCCAAATGAAAAAAATGAAAAAAAACTTAAAGAGGATGCAGATTAGAGCATTGTGGACACCTTCAGTAACATAAAGACTAAAACCTGGAGACAACAATGAGTGCTGCAGGACTAAAGAAAAGTGATAGAATGATAGAATGTCAGAATGTCAGAAAACACGCCACAATGTGTTGAAAGAAATTATTCCCATTTCAGTTGGATTTATTCACTTTTATGTGATTCATTTTATGTTGATGTAACTCTGTAGTAGTGCCCCTGACAAGATACAGTAAAATATGCCTGGCAATAAATTGTGCAATGTATTGTTTGTGTCCCCATTATACAAAAGTAATAAAAAAACAATGGATAAGGAAAGACATATAGCAGTGTATTAAAGAGAAGGAAAAACACTTTAAACTCACAATGCAAGAAATTAAAGGCTTAAGAAGATTTCAGTGAGAAAAATGATTAAAAACAATTTTTTATATTACAGTAACACATGAGAATATATGTTGATAGATTAGTTAGAGAGAGAAAACAGGCAGCTAAGAATTGTAATAGCAAAATGCTTTATAAATAATAGAAAAACTAACTGGTACCTTAAACCTGCATGGCCGCTGTCATTACTGTCTATTTTGTCACTTTTGAGTGCAAGTGGGTAAGGGGGTTTGTGGAAAAGGGTGGGGGGAGGGGTCTTTGAGCATAAGGATTTAGGGCCACGTGTCAAGTGTGTTCACAGTGAACTCTGCAGGTTAGCATTGTATGTTGGCCCCAACTACTGAGTGGTTCCATTAAATATTAGCAGGGTGCAATGTTTACATCGGATGCTCAGCAGAATAAAAAACAGGCAGAACAATTCAAAGAGATTTAATGAATGAATGAATGAATGAATGAATCAAGAATTGACATCACTGCACTTGGGACATTCCCTCCACTCACCCTCTCCCCTTTCCCCACTCCCATCGAATTAGTCTCTCAGTGTATGAATTCCATATTTGTTTCTTTGCACTGTACATTTGATCTCATAGAGCCTTCACTAAATCCACTTCATCATGTAGTAGTTCACACCCAGGGGTGCGGCAACTAATCTATCAGCCTGCTATTTTATATAGTAATAGACCTCAAGAACCAATGACTGTTGATAAAGTGACAAGAATTACTACATTATCAATTAATAGGGACAGATAAATATCAGAGAAATGAAAGAGGCACATAATTCTTTTAGTGTATGTATATGTGTGTGTGTGCATATATATATATATATATATATATATATATATATATATATATATATATATATATATATATATATATATTCAAATTCATATTCAAATACAGTGGTACTGCAGTATACGTCCGCTTAGTATATGTCCAACTTGGTTTACATTCTGTTTAGATGTGACATTTTTTTTGGCTTGGTATGTGATTTTTGTTTGGAATATGACTCGCATGCTAGAACTTTTATGAGTCAAAATGAGACCTGACACTGTGCCAAATGAATGGATATCAAAAACTTTGCTGAAAAGTACCACCACAACAAAGCCCAAACAAGCTGTAGTAGCATTGTCTAGAATAGCGGTTCTCAATCTGTCGGTTGTGATCCCTTTTTCTGGGTCTAATGACCCTTTCACAGGGGTCAACTAAAACCATCAGAAAACACATATTCATTGAAGTTATCAAGGAAAATAATTGTTTGGGGGCACCACAACATGAGGGAACTGTATTAAAGAGGGCAATAGGAAGGTTGAGAGCCACTGGTCTAGAATGACCAGTCACATTTCTGAAACCTCCAGAGGAGAAGGCAGAAGGAAAGTTCTTTGGATATATTTTTTTGGTGTAAAAATTAAATATAGTGAGCCTCAACCAGGTCCAAGTGGGGAAAATAGGTTAGTTGCGTATCCTTTACAGGACATTGCAAAACCAACGCCAACAGCCCCTGGCTGTTGTGTGGTTTTTCTAGGCAAATTTACGTCCAGTAGTATGGCATTACTTTCTGGATGGTTGGCTTTTTTGATACCATTGTTGAAACCAACACAAGGCGCATGGCCCGCAGCTGGGAGCAAACCCGGCATTCCGGCATTACAAAGTGTTTGTATTGACTTAGCCACAGAGCCGACAGGGAAAATAGACAGAATGAAACAAGAAAGAGAAAGAGAAACAACACCAGAATATCTGATTCCTGAAGTTCTACTGCAGCGGCTCTCAACTTTTCTAATACGGTGACCTTTTTTAAACAGTTTCCCCCTAACAACACAGTTATTTTTGTTGCTACTTCATAACTTCAGTGAAAATGTGTTTTCCCATGGTCTTTGGCAATCCTGGTGAAAGAGTCATTCGACCCACAAAAGGGTCACAACCCACAGGTTGAGAACCACTGCTCTATTGGACGAGACTCTCTTTCCAAACAATAACATCTCCTCCTCCTCTCTTCTCAGTACCATCCTAGTAGGCACTCAACTCTTCTCAGTAAGGTAAATTCAGGTTACTTTTTCATCTGTTTCATCCAGTTGCTTTTGAATTTATGTGTTTTAGTGTTAGCAGTATTTAAATTATTTTATACAGCCTTATCAGTGTATAATATGTCTGTAACAATAAGATTTTTTGAAGGAATTAATCTTTCTCCCTTTATTTCTTATGGGAAAATTTGTTCAGTATATGTCATATTTTTTATACCTTCAAGGATCTGGAATGGATTAAGGACATAAACAGAGGTACGACGATCTATATATATATATATATATATAAACAATTTTAACTATTGAATCATCATCATGTGCCCTGCCTAGCAGCATAAGTGCTCAAACTCTTCACAGACCTGTTTCTGGTATTTGGAATCTATTCCACCAATGATATTCCACCATGCCATCACTAATGATTTAATAATGTATAAATTTATAGAAAACATGTCTTTTACTTTTACATTGTTTGTAAATCTTATGTGAAATAACACAAAAATCAATAACTTCTTTAGATTTTCAAATTTAAAAAATTTGCATCTTGCAGATTCGTTTTTGGAAGGCTGGTGAGAAGGAAACCACATTGCACGAGCACATCATTTCTCCAGAGTCCAGCAGCAAAAAGCGAAAACGTAGAAACAGTCCAGATAACAAAATTCGAGGAACGGTTGCTAACCTCCCTTCTTATGCTGACATTGAAGCAGATGTGGTTGTTATCAACAGAAAGTTTGAGTCTAATGGCAGCAACATTGTCAATTTTTCCACCCCAGAAGGAGGTAATTTTAAAATACTGCATCATTGCTTTTATTAGAAAGTAAAATACAGATTTCCACACTTTGATGTATATTGCAGGGGAACATGGGGGGGGGGGGGGGAGAAGGGGGCTCAGGCAGTTTGAGATCCCAACAATTTTTAGGAAAAAAAATTGGGGAGCAGGGAGGCACTTAGAAAACACCAAAACAATCTATGGTAGTTCTCTTTCTAAGTATCTGTTGCTACATTTCATATATTATTTCGGATTTATTATTATGATGGTTATTTGCCATTCAGCACATGATTATTATTATTAATGTTATTATTATTGTTATAATTACACACTTAAATAAGACTTAGGCACACAGAGCAATACACCCCTCCCAACTTGCAGCAGTAATTGTGTAGTTAAATCCATTTGTGAGGTAAGAAAACACTTGAAAGGTGATGAGACAAAAGATTTTGCCAATTTTCACAAGTTTGTTTGGAGTCAGTTAACTCTTTTCTAGCAGTCAGCTCACCATATTTCTTGATTATTCCTCATAGGCTTCACATTTATTGGCATCTGCAGCCTGATCCTTCTCTTGTTTTTAATTCACTATGCCCTTCCCGTGTGACTGCATGGCTCCTATTTTTTAAAAGGGATGAAGAAAGACCTACTGTTCCCCTAACAGGCAAAGACCTACTGCCCCCCCCCCCCCCAACAGGCATGTTGGAAAAGTGAAACAGTCCGGAGTGTTTACTTTTAAGGAAGGAGTGCATGTGCCTGAGAGGTGAGAAACCAACAGTCTGCATTACAGATGTGCAAGCAAAACTCAAGTTCTGGAAGAAAGCCAAAGTCCAGAAGTATAGAAATGGAACAATCAAAACTTTTGGCCAGAGTTTACCTCTGGTGAATGCTAAGAAGAACAAGAAGATTATGTCCCATTTCTCTCTGCTATTTTCTGAAGTCAAGTTATATTTTAATTTAGCTCATTTAGACTCAAAGATACCTGTCTAGAGGGCACATACTGTGGTATAGAAAGTGGCTGACGTAACAATTCTTTGGCACTGAAAGATTTAGTCACTTAAAATGACTGTTAATTTAATTGAACTTTAACATTTTAAGAAGTTAGAAAAGTAGAGTAAAGGACTCATTTCATGCCAGTGATATATCACGCATATGATGCTGGACTAATATTTTTATAGATCAAGTATCAATTTTTGGTTGATATGATCAATTTCAGACTGGCTGCCTTTACTTCCCAGGACTTTACCTGGTACCTATTTTAGGCTTGGTCAATATGGAAGCTCAGGTTATTTTTTAGGAAAAAATCTAAGTGCAGATTTGAACCTATAACCTAAGGTTCGGCAGGTGAGCATCCAGCTGATAAACCACCACAACTCATTTCTGCTAAGCAGCATGATTGATTTGTTTCTTTTGACACAATGAATGATTACATTTTCCTCAGTTCCTGGAATAGTGGGGTTTTTCAAAGCAGCACACAGAGGCTCACATCATTTCTCATTGAAGTGGGGAAAACCTGCAAAGCCAAATGGAATCATTACTGGCTATCAGATGGCCTACCAAAAAAGTAAGACTCAAAATTTAGTTTGTATTATTATACTTAGGCCTCCCCCCCCCCCCCGGATCCATATACTTCCTCCAAATGGCTGCAGCAATTGTGTAGTGATAGGATGAAAGGTTTTGCCAATTTTCACAAGTTTGTTTTGAGTCAGTTAACTCTTTTACTAGCAGTCAACTCACCATGTTCTATACCACAACTTTGCCTGTAAATCAAAACAGTGTTTCCCCTTGGTAAATTTTGACCAGCTGCAGGAGTGACTAGAAGAAATCTAGTCAGGACTGAGGTCTCAAGAGAAAAAGTCAGCACAGAAGCAATTATAAATTATATACAAAGACAGGAAATCAAATGGTTTGTCTGATTGCAGAGAATTCCTTGTATTGCCAACCCATAAATGAATGATTTGTATTGATTAAAAGACGAGGAGGACTTATGAGCATGAGATAGACCAAGAACAAAATGGAAAGATAACATCTGTGAAAACAAACTCTACTGCAGCACATTGTGTTAGTGGTTGAGGTGGCCAGAAGTGCAAGAAGCAGAACCTTAATCTCCCTCGGCACATGAAAATTGTAGTCTATGTTTTGTGTCAACTTCGATCAGACTTTGTGAATGATTAATTTAGTGATGTCCTGCATGCTTAGAATGTTGTTTTTTTGTTGTTGTTTTTTTTTCTTCTTTTTATTTCAACTTTTTAACAGGATCTTTATGATGGTTACTATGTTTTTGCAGAATATTATATAAATAAATGGGTATGTTTAAGAGATTATGCAGTCAACAGATTCCCTTTGTGGGTGCGAGCATAACTTCAAAGGTCCCGGGTAGTTAGCTCCTTTGGATATTTTCTCCAGGTTATGCCGGTGTGTTGGAAAATGAGCAGGCAGATAGACTGGCCAATTCTGCATCACTTGGTAGTGAACTGATGTATGACAAGCTGGATGTTGTCAGGGCTCTTTGGGAGCAAGCGAACAGTGCTAAAGCACAGATGGATCATTACAATCTGAGAAGAGGACAGGGAGTGAGCTTCATGTGATAGCACAAGATAAGGTGACTTGGCGTGAACTGGCTGAAGGCCTATGATCCATTAAGGGATAAAGGACAGAAAAAGAAGAAGAAGTTGTATAACAAGTTGTATATATTGTTCTCACTATTTAAATTTGCAAAGGGCACAATTATATTTTGAATGTCTGTATCAAAGTCTAAACCAGTACTAAAATGTTATATCTAGCCTGGTCTGTTGTATGGCAGTGAATCTTGGAATGTGAGCAAACAAATTAAGAAGAGTTTGGAGGCAACTGAGATGTGGTTCTTGAGAGGATTGTTGCGAATAACTAACAATGATTGCCTGGAAATGGCCAATGAAAGTAGAACATTATATACAACAATGAGAAGGAAACAAAATTCTTTGGTCATGTAATTAGAAAACGAGCACTGGAAAATATTGTGACGACTGGAAAGATCACTGGTAGAAGAGAGACAGAAGCAGATCAAGAGAGATGATGGTGGATGGCTTAAGACAGTAGCATGGAGGAATATCATCAGTGGAATTGATCCAGAACACCAAAGACCGAGATCTGTGGAGATGCATGAACGCCTAAGCCAGCTAGCAAGGCATTTGATGACGATGATAATATCAAAGTTTAGAAATTTAAACAGTGAACAGATTGGACAGTCAAGAATGGACTGAAATGTTAAAATGTGTTTACAATAATGCTGAATAATAATCACAGTTGTGTGTAATTTGTTTCCATTTCTATTTCTGATTTGAATAGTTGATGAAGGTAACACATGTTTATATTCTATCTCTTATTATACTTTATTGTATATTCGCAATGCTTTTTTAAAATTACACTTTCATCTATTTTAGTAGCCGAAAAATAACAACATAATTTATTCTAACCTTGGGGCTTTTGTGGTCAAATGAAAATATTTGTTATAAAAATAGCATATCTGATTATTACTGTTTGAACTTTGTGTATGTGTGTGTGTAGCTGTGTGTGTGTGAGGTTGTGTGTGTGTGAGGTTGTGTGTATGTATGGGTTGCAGCTGTCAGCATGGGACAATGGCCTCACCCCAGGCAACAGCTTTAATGGGCTGGCTAAACCAGGAGAGTGTAGCAGACCTGGTTCTGAACGACTCGGTGAATGGAATATGCCTACCCTGAATGCAAAGACTAGACTCTGCGGATTGTGCAGATGAAACCTCTTATTGGTTCAATGGACAAGAAGGCGTTTACCAGCAGGCTCTCTGGAGAGCTTCGAGCAAGGCAGGGCACCTAAGACGCCTTGGTCATCCACTGCACCTAGGTCCATTTCCAATCGTCTTGACATTGTCCTACCATTGGATCAAGATGGACACAGGTGAGAGAGAGAGAGGTCGACGTATTGCGCAACTCTTCCTCACTTAAATTCAAGTCCTTGCGCAAGTCACTTTCATCCAGCTATCATCAATCACTTTCAAGTCCTGTGGCGATGGGCGAGTGACAAAGGTGCAGATGTGGGTTATGTTGGCAGCTGTAGCTGCAGACCTCCACGCAGGTGGCTCAGGCCATATGGTCGCTGTCCACTCATAGGAACAGTAGTGGACTTTGGCAGCCCCCTGAGCGACTGACCAGCCCTCTTTAGGAAAGGACTGCTCACCTCGATGGCATAAGGAAGGGGCTAGAAGAGGTGCCCTAAAAATAGGTGGCTCCACCATGTCCCGACTCCCATACCGCAGCTGGAGGGAACTCCTCTTCTGTGGTCGACAAAAACGAAAACTAAAGACATACTACTGAAGTTCGGCACGTGGAATGTGCAAACTCTCTTGGATAGAGAAAATGAATCTGAACCTGAAAGATGAACTGCCCTGACTGGAAAAGAACTTGGTAGATACAACATCGACATTGCAGCCCTGAGTGAGACTAGACTTGCTGGTGAAGGCGAACTCTGTGAGGTCGGTGCAGGTTACACATTCTACTGGAGTGGTAGAATTCCTGAAGAACGCAGAGAAGCCAGTGGGGGTTTTGTAGTGAAGACCACATTAGTCGGTAAACTGACTAAACCCCCACAAGGTAAAAGTGATCGGCTCATGGTGATGTCAATACCATTATTTCAAGGGAAACAGAATTCCATAATCTTAAGTGCAAATGCACCAACAATGACTAATACAGACGAGACCATAAACGGGTTCTTCAAAGACCTGCGGGCTGTAATCGAAGGACTACTGCTGCTTAAGATCTGTGCAGAACATGAACGCCACTATCACCATAAATGATCAAAAGCTAAATGTAGTCCACAGATTCACTTATTTTGGCACTACCCTATCTCAGAGAGTCAATATCGACAATGAGATCAATGTTAGAATCTCAAAGGCCAGCAGCAGTTTCGGCAGACTTTATACCAGTGTCTAGAACAGAAGTGGTATCTCCCCGCTGACCAAGCTAAAGGTTTACAAAGCTATAATTCTTCCAGAACTGCTCTACACTTGTGAACTTGCACTGTGTATCAGCGTCTTGCTAAAAAGTTGAATCATTTTTATATAACCTGTCTCAAACTCTGTTCAAAATCAAATGGCAAGATAAGATCACAAATACTGTGAATCTTAATAGGGCAAACCTGCCCTGCATCCACACGATACTGAAGAATTGTCAGCTGCTTTAGGCTGGTCACCTAACCTGCATGCTAGACTATTGCCTCCCAAAGAGAGTATTTTATGGCAAGCTCCGGCAAGGGAAGAGGTGCCAGGGAGGACAGAAAAAGTGCTATAAGGACACTCTGGAAACTGCTGTCGATTCTTTTGGCATCAACACAGCGACACAGCTAATACACAAGACTGTTCTAGATGGCGTACGTCCCTCAGACATGGTACATCGGCATGCCAGGCAGCGGAGGTTGCACAGGCAGAGAAACGGAGGCAGACTAGAGAGAATTGTACTGCTAATCCCACACTTACTGCGGCTTCCATCTGCAGATAATGCAGCATAGCCATAAACCACAGCACATGTCAACCATTCTCTGAAGGGCAAGCAACAGAAACAAAAGAAGTATTGTTTTGCTAAATCATGTAAATGATCTTGCTTCTCTGCTTTTATCAATTTCCAAAAGCCTGCACCAGCTCTTGTGCTGAACATTCACATTTGTGCTATGCTCAGGACATTAATGTATAACTGCGGTTAACGTTTACTAACACTCATATTTATTTTAATATATGTAAGATTATTTAATGCTTTTTCTTTCTGGACATGGGAATAATTTTTATTTTTTGAAAAATAGTTTTTGCCTCATATCATGGTTGATTTGATAATTATTTCAGCTATAATTACAAGCACATGTATCTTTTTTTTTCTCAGTAACCATTTAGCTTTCGTTACTAATTTGATCTGCTTTGAAGATTGATACATTGTAGTTTGTCTGGTATTCTAAAGCCATTTTATTTCCTTATGTTGGAAACAGAATAAATTTAGAAGCTTTTTTTAACAGCTTTACATTCCCCATTCCACCCCTTACATTTTAGGAACAAAAAAAAAAAATAAAAAAAAAAGAAATATTCTTACAAGATTAGGATTTATTAGTTTGTGTATTATACTTACAAATTATATAGTATATTTTTTTAATGCATAGCTACTGAAACAAACATAATTATATCATAATTTTGACATCCAAAACCTTTGTAATTTAATGAGTAAAATTGTTCAAACGGCACACAAGAATCCCCTAGGGTTAAGTCAGTCAACTGACATTCTTTTGCATCTGGGTTTCTCAATAGTTTTTAGGCTTACAGTCTTTCCCATCAACTAATAAAAGCATGCCATCAGATAGCTGTAGATTTAATTTATTTGAACAGTATAAAAAAAATGATAAAATATCAGTGAACACATACCATCATAGAGTATTTAACAAATGCAATACCCCCTGTGTAGATTACACCACAAATAATCACATTGCACTAGGGACATCTTATAGATCTTTCATTACTCCCATTGTTGTTGGAGGATTTGTACAGTACTGATGGCTTCCAAAAATACACTGGTTTCATAAGTACTTGATTAAATCTTTCTTGCATTCCATGCCCAATTAAAGATACCAGAAGATTGGCACATACATATTAATCTGATATGTAAAATGGATGTGCATGCGAAACTAAAAGTTCTGGAAAATGAATAAATAACCAGAACTTTTCCACCAGAGTTTGAGGCTGGTGAACATGAAGAAGATGAAAAAACAAAACAAATGCAAAATCATAAAAATATCAGAAAGGAATAAAGCATCATAATCACCATTATAAGTTCTAGATTAGGCATCCAAAGAAAAGAGACACTGAGAAATCATATTTGTGTAATTGTCAATAGTTTCCTGTTATATTTAATTGCAGTTGATTCTTGTTGTCATTGTTTCAGACCTTAGCCTTTCTAATTGTGTTCGTCAGTCTGTCTATACCTCCCACCCCACCCCCACCTTCTCTGTCTCACTCTCCACCTCCCTCTCCTCTCTCACTTCACTCTCCTTTCCTCTCTCTCTCTCTCTCTCTCTCTCTCTCTCTCTCTCTCTCTCTCTCTCTCTCTCTCTCTCTCTCTCTCTTTCTCTTTCTCTGTAACTGTCTTCTCCTTTCCTTTCTCCCTCCACCTCTCTCTCCCCAGCTGCCTACTCTCTTTCTTCTGTCTTTCCTAGCTTTCTTTCTCTGTTATCAGTCTTTTTTAATATTACTCATTTCTAAGGGCATAAATTACCATGCTTTGACACCTTTCACCACAGTCTCCAGACTGGATGTTGGACCCAAGATCATTGCCTTTGAAGATCTTGGACCTGATGAGGAAGAGGCTGAGTTGAAAGGTTTGGACCCAGATACTCAGTACAGGATATATATTACAGCCAGAACAGCAGAAGGCCTTGGTGAAGAGTTCTATATAGATGTGAAGACTATCAGTGATGTTTCACGTGAGTTCATTTTGTGTGTGTGTGTGGGTATGATATACTTGTTGTCAGACTATCATATACTTGTTTTTTTAGAATAAAAGTACACATAAAGTTGATGTGTCAGCATCATGCCAGCCACCTTTACTTCCCAGAACATAACCTGGTACCCATTTTAGGTTGGGTCAACCTGGGAGTCAAGGTATTTATTTTAAAAAAAAATTCACGAGAGTTCATTTTTGTGTGTGTGTGGGTATGATATACTTGTTGTCAGGCTAACATATACTTGTTTTTTTAGAATAAAAGTACACATAAAGTTGATGTGTCAGCATCATGCCAGCCACCTTTACTTCCCAGAACATAACCTGGTACCCATTTTAGGTTGGGTCAACCTGGGAGTCAAGGTATTTATAAAAAAAAACAAAAAATGTCACCATTGATATGGATTTGAACTAGACTTTTGGGGTGGCAAGTAACTTATATTTTGGGGATGGAGGCATTGAGGACTTCCAAGAGAAAAGCTCAAGAACATTGAGAGAAGCCAAAGATGCCAGACTGGATTTCATCCATGATGTCAAAATGATTGCACAGGTTAGAAAATAGAAAATAACTGAGAAATATGCTGCAAGCGCAATGTGACACAACATAGCACAATAGGATGATGAATGAATGAATGAATGAATGTGCTTTTTCAACAGCAGTAACGTTATAATATAAATGTTCTTTGTGTTTAAAATATGTTTTGCCTCTCTCAGGCTATATTTCTGTCTCTGCTTGTCCCTCTTGCTCTTCTCTCTCTCTTTCTCTCTCTCTCTCTCTCTCTCTCTCTCTTCTCTCTCAAAATAAAATAAAAGAAATTATGGGTAAAGTCATGTGTAAAATGTGTAAACCAGTTTAACACTTTCAAATATTCAATGACATTTTCTATTTCAATATAGAACTGGCCACACCTGTGATCCAGAATGTATATCCAGGAGATAATAATGCAAATGTCACCTGGAATATGCCAACAGAGAAAGGTGGTCGTTTCCCTCAGTTGTATTACATTGAATACTTGAAAAAGGGTAAGTAGGCAATTTAAACAGAAAGGGTTGCTAGGTGATTTACATTTAGGAAGAGATAAACTATTTAAAATGGTGTGTTATGTATTTTTCAACAAATTATTGTATGTGTGGCATCATACAAAATAATTTTAAAAATCATATTAAAAGAATGTGACTAGTCATACGTACATGCATACCCAGCAAAAAAAAGCTTCACAAAGTCCTTTTATACAGTTTATGAAAATGTATACATCCTCATCATGAAAAATATGTTTTGCAGAACTCACATTGAATATGTAATTATGTTAGGTTCATCGAGTATATAGCTTAAATTCATATTTTTTTTCACTGGCGTCAGCATCAGAGGGGCAAGACATTGAGCCCCAAGCTGCCCCATTGTCATCTTAGAGTTTGTGCCCCATCACACAATACATTAAAAATTCCATGTAACTGATGTAGAATTGTTGTGAATTAGGGAACAAGGAAGTCACAGGATCATACAATTTTACATCAGCTTTAGATTTTACATTTTTTGTATCTGGTTCGTCAATAGATTTTAGGCATACAAGCTTTCCTATCAACTTATAAAAACATGGATAACTATGTCATCAGATAACTATGCGGTTTTTTTTTTGGTTCAACAGTATATATATCTGTGGGTATGTGTGTGTATGTGTGCATATGCATATGTATGTAAACGGAATATGGACTCTTGTTTCATTTTCACTCCTTCAGATTCCACAAAATGGGTTCGAATAGATCATCCAGTAGAGAGTCAGAACTGGGGCATGCTACAGCATCTGGAGCCAGGTACACAGTATGAAGTGCGAGTTGTGGCCATGTCACATGTCAATGGTGTGGAACAGCTTGGGAAAGAGTATACTTTCATGACTGCTGGAATCGGTAAGTTCGTGTTTGATCATCTTTACCTCTTTCAACATTTCATTTACTCTTTGGCTCTCAAGCAGATCATATGTGATAAGCTCTTGTCTGTGAAACCCAGTTACCATTCAGTGTTCTCCAATTTTTTTTTCACATTTAGTCAGAATTCACTAAACAAATCTGGCTTACTTTGCAGTCATTTTCAGTGTTTACCTACTTATTTAGAAAGTCATTAAATCTTCGCTTTTCATTGTAATTATTTTTCCCTATTAGGTGTTTGCAATGAAATTCTCACTGGCCTAGAAGAGCCAGACTTCTTTTTTAAAGGTCTTATGTTATTATTGAATGAAGATCACATGTTACGTACATTGTAGTATTTGTTTTAAAAAAGTTCAAAATATATAATTATATGTTCTGCTATTGTAATTACTGTGTAGCTGATGTAATCACAATGCATTATTTTTGTTGTTTTATGTGTTTTTCCCCATTTCTATGTGCTTTTGTTATGTATTTAAGATGTTGCTAAAATAATTGTTTTTAAATGTCTCAAAATTCTATATGCTTTTGAAGGTATTGTACTTATCTGTATGGATTTGGCTTCTGTTTTTTTTTTTTTTAAATTACTCTCCAGATGTTCTGTTCCTTCTTCTTTTTTTTTTCACTTGAAATTGATTGTCTCAATCTGCTATGCTATTTTTTTTAATGACTTTTTCCTGTTTTTAAACTGTTTTATATTTTCTGTGTGCTTTAGATTTTTGTTAAAAACTACTTCATTGTGCTTAATTTTGATAAAAACATTTATAAGGCAAATAAACAGAATAACTTGAACAGATAAATTAGCCTTGTGTGCATAGATAGATCTGCCCCAATATGGGATGTAATTTTTTGTTTATATTTTAAAGCCCTACCCTGGCTGTCCTCAGGGGCCCTAAATATAACCTACTGGGTGAACAGAGTTTATGGGACTTCGGCGTGGATGATTCTCATCCAAAAGGTGGCACTTTGTGTCACCAGGTGTTTATGACTCATTTTGCGGTCCTGGTTGGGTTGAATGTCACTCACTGTGACAGCCTTGTGTGAGTGAACAATAAAGATAGGAAGACATAATGTTTTTTTTTAAAAGCCTAAACAATTAAAAAATTCCTAAAGCATGACAAAGAGTATTAGAAAATACTGATCGCCAGTGATTGCTTCAGACAAGCCACATTAAGAATGAACGTAGTATACCCATAAAATAAAATTTGCCTCTATATGTTTATATATATATATGTGTGTGTGTGTGTGCGCATATGTGTGTATACATGTATGCGTGCGTGCTTGTGTGTGTGTGTGTGTGTGTGTGTGTGTGTGTGTGTGTGTATGAAGAGATTGGGAATGTAAAGAAAGATTCTGATAGAAACAAAAAAAGACAAAACTATTCTGCCTATTGGGTAGACAATGATACAAGGGGGTGTACAACATCAAGAGATGGATGAGCAGCAATCTGAGAGATTGAACTACCCGGGCAAGAGACAGACTATGTTGGAAATCCATTGCAGCTGAACTTTATTGTTGAGAAGGCACCTGACTGATTGAATTAGTTTCAGTCTGTGTAGTCCCTTAAGTATAATTTAAGCAGTAAGCTGGGACACAGATACAAGTTTACAAATGTCTTTTTTTTTTTCTTTCTGTCTTTTTTTTTTCTGTCTGTCTGTCTCTCTTTTTTCTTTCTTTCTTTCTTTCTTTCTTTCTTTCTTTCTTTCTTTCTTTCTTTCTTTCTTTCTTTCTTTCTCTTTCTTTCTTTCTTGGTGTTGTGGTGTGTGTGTGTGTGTGTGTTGTGTAGTGTGTGTGTGTGTGTGTGTTGTGTGTGTGTGTGGTGTGTGTGGTGTGTGTGTGTGTGTGTGTGGTGGTGTGTGTGTATGTGTGTTGTGTGTGTGTGTGTGGTGTGTGTGTGGTGTGGTGTGTGTGTGGTTTTTGTTGTTTTCTTTCCTTTCTTTTTCTTTCTTTCTTTCTTTCTTTCTTTCTTTCTTTCTTTCTTTCTTTCTTTCTTTCTTTCTTTCTTTCTTTCTTTCTTTCTTTCTTTCTTTCTTTCTTTCTTTCTTTCTTTCTTTCTTTCTTTCTTTCTTTCTTTCTTTCTTTCTTTCTTTCTTTCTTTCTTTCTTTCTTTTCTTTCTTCTTTCTTTCTTTCTTTCTTTCTTTCTTTCTTTCTTTCTTTCTTTCTTTCTTTCTTTCTTTCTTTCTTTCTTTCTTTCTTTCTTTCTTTCTTTCTATTTTCTTTCTTTTTTCTTTCTTTCTTTCCTTTTTCTTTTCTCAATCCTTCAAAACCTAACTATTTCTTATTGTCACTCTTCTTCTACCCTGCAGTCTTTCCTATAGTTTCTAAATTCATTCTAAATCTGTTTGTAAATGCCAAGTTGTGTTTGACCCTCTACCTCTGTACATGTAGGTATGAGAGCCATGGCTCTCACCAGGTCAGACAACACCACCTTAAACACAAAAGAGGAGCCAACCCTTGCAGGTTTCACAATCATCTGTCACTTGTTACTGATCGCTTAAAAAATTTTTCAGTAACACTTAAATTATAGATTTCCATGCTCGATTCCATTTTAAAAAAAAATCCCTCAAGTTTTTTTTGTTGCCACGCAATTCCATTTTTTAAATTGTTGGTTAATATAATTTTCTTTTGGTGACTGGTGGTTTTTATGTTAAATATTTCATGAAATTCAGATTTTATTTTTAAGGAGAGTTTACAGTTTTGATTAAGATTTAGCATGTTTAAATATGTGACCTTTTCTGGCAAAATGAATAATTTTGGGGTATACATAAATAAGTAAAGTAAAAAGTATAGGACCCATTTCCACGCCTTCAGGGATATTGGGATAGACCTGTAATTTTTAGACCAATCGACACTCATTGGGTTATATGGTCATGCTGGCCACCTTTACTTCCCAGGACTGTACCTGGTAACTACTCAAGGCTGGGCCGACATAAGAGCCAAGGTCTTCTGAAATTTTTGGTAAAAATATTGGGTTCCTTCAGGACCTGAACCCGCCACTTTGAAATTTGCAGGCAAGCGTCTACCCACTACACCACTGACTGACTGACTTTCTACCCCACCAGGACATCACACAAGCGATAAACACCCGATGACACAAAGTGCCACCATGCGGATGAGGATCGCCGTGGAGAGGTCCCAGAAACCGCGTTCAGACACTTGGCCATATTTAAGGCCTGCCTATATTGCGGCCTCTGGCAAAAGCCAGAGTAGGGCTTCAAATGACAAAAAATTTCGTCCTGAAAAGGACGAAACTGGATAAGCTTATGACTACACCACGGTGGCTTCCATGTACATAAATACTAAATGTAAACTGGAAAAATGCATTTAGGAAAGGGGAATATATAATTATGTAAGGTACATTGGGCAAATAGCTTAGATTCGTATTTTGTATAAACCTGTCAGTAACCAGAGGAGTAAGTGATATACATCATTTCAGCTGCCTTTACTTCCCAAAATAAATCTGCTGATAACTATTTTATCCACCAAGATGATAAACACGTTCACTGTGTTGACCTCCCTCAAAATACGCCTCAAGACCTAGATCATCAGGCTGGTATATAAGTATCTTTAAGAAAGAAAACAAGGCTTTTAAGCTAAAATGCTATAAAATGATTCTCAGAATACCTTAGACAGAGAAGAAAACAAATACTGATATCATAAAAGATCTAAACATCAAGGAAAAATGGCTACTAAACAGCATCTTGTCTCAGAAACTGAAATATTTTGGTGATATCAAGTGCCATAGTGCACTGTAAAAAACATACTAGCAGAAGGCAAGGAATGAACAAATGAATGAACTTTATTTTCAAAGGCTCACAAATTGGGCATGCAGGCCAGCCTAACATTCAGCCCTTCCAGATACCCATCTTTTGCACAGCCATTGAATTTTATAAATAAAGCATGTTATATTTATATAGTAAAATGCATATTATGAATATCAAGCAAAAGCATAGATGGCAAAATGCATGCAACCACTCGGTCATGCACGTACACACACACACCCACATACACACGCTAACCCACTCAATCACTTACACACACATATACACCCACATTCATACATCAGGAAAAGAAAGGCAGGGGCCAGCCATCACAGGATATAAGTGACTCCTTGTGACACATTGGGTACATAAAGGGGTAGAATTGGTCAGAGACTGAGTTTACTTCTGGCAGACTGGGATGAGAGTGACGTTCCGCAAAAGAGTTGCTTCATGATAATGATGAGATCATCAGCCTGGCATTAAGTGTTCTTACCCCAACAGAATGAAAAGAATATATATCAACCACAGAATGCTGATGTTTATGTTGAAGGGGGAATCTGAGCACCTATAGACATGTCCTGAGTGCCGTGAAGATAACCCAAATCATAACTCATAACTCAGAAAAGAATAATTAGAGAAATGGGCAAACCTTTACTATAAAAGAAAGAGCCATCCATTTTTATTTACTTATAACTTATGTTTATTATGCCAGAACATGTCACTCATTTTGTGGGAGATAAATTGTGGCTTGAAATGCACTTGCCAAACTTTCTGTCAAAATAAATTAAAATATATCTTTAGATTGGGAATTCAAAAGGATAAATTGTGTTTCTTTTATGCCTTCGAGTGCTTAGCACACAAAAAAACTTTTAAAATATATAAATAGAAGGTAGCTGAAAATACAGCATTTGATAACTACTACTAAAGGAAATACATCATTTCATATATAAGGAAAGGTTTTATCTTTAACAGAATTAGGAAAATACAGAAATCTGAATCCTCAGCATACTTCCTTGAAAAAAAGTTTGTTTTTTTAATCTTTGAAATTTTTAAAAAGTTTTTGAGACATTATTAAATGATATTTTTTTTTTAATATTTTTTTTTTTAATATCTAAAACCTTTGGACATGGAAATCACTTTGACAGTAATGATATATATAATTGCCATCTTGCATCTAGAATGCAGAACAAAAACAGCAATAGTGTTGTGAACTAATGGCATGCCATTGTGTCTACAAGCGTGCATTTGTATACATTTCAGATGGCATTTTCTGTTACCTTCAACATCTTTCATCTCTGATCAGCTAGTTAGTGTAGTCAGTCAGTGTGGTTGTTTGATAGTGCAAATCTGAAAGGATTTTAGTGTGTTCATGTTGATAAACCGTGTGAAGTTTTTCCTTATCTGCTGGTATATGTGCATGAAAATATGTTTACATTATTATCCTATTTTCAGATTTTCCTATTATTCCTTTTAGTTTAGTTGAGTTGAGTCAAGAATTGACATCACTGCACTCAGAGTATTCCTATATGCACTCCATCCCCGTCCTCAGCAGCCAGCGCAGAATTCCAATGCTAATTGTGCCAGTTGTAATCTGGTTGTATGTCCGTTTTGCATTTCCTCTGAGAATAGTGTGTAACCCTCTGGTTATTATCCCTTATGGTGTCAGTATAAAGAGGAATTTAGTCAAATTCTTTGAATGGGTTGTGCATTTGTTGCATCTCAATCAGGTGCCATCTCCACAGTTAAGACTGGCTGTAATGAGTGAACACATTGTTTCACATGCCCAGATTGTACACTCTCTCAGAACACTGTTCCCCCTTGTCATGATACATTTCTTTCACTTATATTGCTGTATACAGCTTGCTTACCTCTCTTCAATTTTGTCCTTTCACATATGAAGATGTATTCTGCCAAACTCTCTGAGACATTGTGTCTACTTCTGAGACATGTGGTCCAAAAAAAAAAAGTTTTCTTTGTTTGGCATCGGAAGGCAGAAAAACCTGATAAGCAGACAGATGCTTACAATTTTGATTTTTTGATGTTTAAATATGTGACTTTTCTGGATGGCACCTTTTTTCTGATTTTTCTTCTGAATTAGCTGTTCAAAAAAAGAAAAAAACATTGTACCATCTCCACATAAAAATAGCTACAGTTTACTCAGTGCTGTCTGTAGCAATATTTTTTGGTGGGGCCTCACTTTCTTCTATGGTGTGACTCTCATACAACTGTCTGAAAACCATGAGAGTGTGTCCCCCCCCCTCCCCTCTCCCTCCAATCCCCTTTCCTTCCTCGGCCCCCTTCCCACTGAAAAAAAAAACTGCCCAGTGCGGTACTTAAGGATCGTTAAATTGGTAAACGTGTTCACTAACTTGTAAGCCATAGATTTGCACAAATTAGTTAGAAATGACACTAAATGTCTCTTGCTATTTAAAAGTGTTTGTGATGTTAAGTATTCTTTCTGTAACATCCTAAAGAAAGCTGAAAGAACTTTCCTTATACCTTCCATCCATTTTTACATGGTTAGCCTCTTTTTTGTGTGTCTTTGTTTGGGCTTTAATGATCACTGCAGTATACTGGATTATTTATTTTATCAAATAACACAGGTAGCAGTAAACCATGATAAATATTACATTCTATAGGTCATATGGGTTCATCTGGCTAGAAATTCCATATCACAGCATTTAGGACAACCCATATTAGCTCTTGTCTCTCTCCTCAACAGCCAGTGAAGAGCCTCTATACTGATGGTACTTAGTTTCATCTGGTTAACTACACATTCTCTCTAGGTGTAGGTTTACAGTATCTTTATTTTACTTGTTACCTTGCCCTACAGATGAGCGATCACCTCTGCCTTGTATACTTGCAGTACACCATAAATTAGGGCTAGTCCAACCAACCTGTCCTGCCTGCTCGTTCTCAAACATACCTACATGGCCTGGCCAAAAATATCCACATTACTATCACCACTTGTGAACTGATGATCGATGTGACCCATTCCATTCAAAGAAAATCTGCCTTTTTCCTTGTGAACATGCTTTGTGAATCCAATACTATGACATCATGTGGGACTGAGATTTTCTCCACCTATCAGAATGCCACTGTTTCTGCCTCAACCTCTAATCTCATGCTGAACATAGTAATATTTGGTATGCCAAGCTTTTCTCTGTCATGCTTTTGCAATGAAGTTAATCCATTCTTTCTACCCCTGGCTACTGAACCATCAGAGTATATAATCACATCTCCTGGCCTAGGCTTGTCCTGTATCAGCTGCTGAACCTCAGTGTTTGCATGTCCTGATGTCCATTCCCTGCATTCCCATCCCGTCTACACTTTATGTAACTCATCTCTGCCGTCCTGTTTCTTTACCCACTATTCTCCTCAGCTAATATTGTAATACCTAGAGGGCATGGTATAATCAGCTGGTGGGTTCCGTTTAGAAATAAAACTTATAAATAACTAATCTTCAATTGTATTAACACAGAGAACAGGGGAGAGAAGTAGGAGAAAAAAGTGATTATTACAACATCCAGATACTTTAACTGTTCTATCCTAGTCATTCGTAATATTACTTTTTATATTGGATCACATGCTAAAGAAATCTGGCTGCAATTTAAGCTAATTCAGCTGTTTATTAGGACTCTTTTCAGTTGTGTATTAAGTCTCCTTGAAAGATATGATGTACTCATGATATTTGTTATTTTGAGCATTAACTGAGAAAACTGGTATGGCTAAAAAGTTCAAGTAATTTAGTTTAATAAATTAATTAATCTGAAGCACTCATTCTTTACTGTCTCATGCTAGATATTTAACATATGTGTAACACTGCAACAGTGTGTGCTTATTGAAATGATTTAGTTAGAATTGTTTACTTTGGAAAGTTTATTTCTGTGGGTAACCAAAACAGGTTCTTTTCCAGTTTTTAAAGATCATTGCCCATAGCATGGTTGGTTGAGGTATTAATATAGTATACTGATGGGTGCAGTAATGTGTGGCATTAGCATTTTACCAACAACCTGGCATGTTATTATGTTTTAATTTTTTTTAAGATTTGTTTAGTGTATTTCTGTTTGAAGTGTGTGTATTCGATCATATTGCCCTAGAAATGGCATGCTGGTTTTTGGCCAAGTTAAATTTGTAATAATTAAAGAATTATAATGTTTATTCTCAACCTTTTAATAGGCACAAACCTTAGAAATATAATGTGTAAATCATATATTTTCAGATAAATTCTATTTAGTAATACTTATTTGGGATATTTACAATTTAAGTGTGTCAGTAATTGCAAAACAATTTTACAAAACAATTAATACATTAGTTTTGTAAAACTCTTTTGTGTTTTAAAAATATATTAAGATCCAAATAAGAAACAGCTAAAAATGTTAAGGACAATAGGCAGCATTCAGTTTTTAATTCCTGTATATTTTAAGCTGCCATGTTGAAAACTCTAGCACAGTTAATTATCCTGAAGCAATTATTGTTTTGTTTTTCCTTTGGTTTCCATCAAAACTGTTATCTTTAAACGTGATTATTTATTGATTTGTTAAAAAATTGTTGTTGATAAAAGCAGCTGCATTTGTAATTAATTTTGGGTAATCTTGAATGTTTTTCTAATAGACTGAAAATTCACAAAATGATTAAAGTAAATGGAGAATAATTGTCATAATGGATTCTGTTGTTGGGATGTGAAATGCTGATAATTTCACAAATACAAGGTTATGACACTGCTTTTATTAGAAGGTTTGAAGAGTCCTGTTATTTCTCTTTCCTGACTTTTTGTAATAAAAATATTAGTCTACTTTTGGTTATAAAATCATCAGAAATGGAAGCAAGCAGCCACTAGTGAACAAGTTTGCCAGCTTTACTCTTTTCTTCTCTGCCAAGGAATTAATCTCATCGGTTTCTGTATATGACTTTTTCTTTCTTTGTCTAAGACTTTCTCTCACCCTCTTTGCCTAGGATTTTCTCTCTTTTTGTCTGCCTAGAATTGTTTGTTTTCTTCTCTGCCTAAGATTGTCTCATCTTCTCCACCTGTAACTTTTCTTCTACTTCTCTGCCTGGTACATTCTCTTGTCTTCTCTTCCTAGAAATGACTCTTTTCTTCTCTGTCTAGAACTTTTCTGTTTTCTTCTCTGCTTAGAACTATCTCTTTTTTTTCTGTCTAAGACTCTGTTTCTTCTCTGTTTAGACTACCTCTGATCTTTTCTGTCTAAGGCTCTGTTTCTTCTCTGCTTAGAACTACCTCTTATACCTCTTCTGTCTAAGACTTTCTGTTTTCTTTTCTGTTTAGAACTACATCTTTTCTTTTCTGTCTAAGACTTTCTGTTTCTACTCTGCTTAGAACTAATTCTTTTCTTCTCTGCTTTGAACTACCTCTTTTCTTCTCTGCCTAGAACTTCTTGTTTCATCTCTACATAGGAGTTAAAACTTTGTGACTAAGTCATTCAGAAGTTTAATGACATTTTGGATAAATTTTAGAATTTGGTTGGATCACATTGTTCACTCTAGAAGGAAATTTTAATTTTTGGACTAACTGTGTCATATTTCGTTTCCAGCTTGATAAGCAACACACTTATTCTGAACATGAAAACACACACATGCACACAGATTCACACACAAAAAACACACACACACACACACACACATGCAAGCATACAGGTTCACACATGCAGACATACACACACAGACACACATGTAAGCACACAGATTCTCTCTCTCACACACACACACACACACACACATATATATATCCAGGCATATAGATTCATACATGTAGGCACACAAATACATATATCCAAACATATAGATTCTTACATGCAGAGACACACACATGCGAGCACACAGATTCACACACTCACATGCATGCACGCACGAATGCACAACACACACACACACACACAAAATATGTGTTTATATAATAATGTTTTTATTATGGATGTTTTTATCCCTCTTATAGGTGCTGCTAAAGCAAGTTTTTTGTCTGCAACCTGGTTTATTGGCATGATGGTGGCCATTGCTGTCCTTATTCTCATCCTTGTAATTGTGTGCATTGTCAAGCGAAACAAGGGAGATAACTATCCAGGTAATCTTAAAGTCTGTCTGTGCTGGAGTAACACATTAACAGATACAGCAAAATATGCCAGGCAATAAAATGTGTAATTTGTTATTTGTGTCTGAATTAAATAAATTCACAACATGAAAACCATGTTTTGAAAATACTAATGTCAAATTTAGCAATTAAAATAGGTGAGGAAAAATCACCTAAGACCCACCTAGAAAGGTCTCTGACAGTCATACAATTGACAGGAGGCCATTACATATTTTAAATCAGTATCGTCTAAATATGGAAAGCAATTTTTCGCTATTTTAATGCCCCACCCCGGCTGTGGTTGGTGGCTTTAATATAACCTATGGTTAAACATGGTTTCTGGGATCTCATCTCTGGGTGATCCTCATCCGCATGGTGGCACTTTGTGTCACTGGGTGTTTATGGCTTGGTGGATGCCATTGTGGGGTTGAACCTCATCATCATCATGTGTTTAATTATGAACTTTTCATGCTCAGAAGGCTACAGTGGTTGCCCTATCAAGCAAATAACAATAATACTTAAGTCCTGAGTGTAACATTTTCACAGGGACTGAATATACACACGTCATTTAAAATAACTGTATTCATATTTATTTACTATCCGGCAACTAAATACCGTAATCTCATTACTTGGAAGAATGAACTTCAAAGCATACCGGGCATGACTCTAATTTTTTTTTTAAATACAAAAGCTCTGTGACTGCTGAAAAATACTAAACCTGATTCAGATACCATTTCTTGAAACTTAGCCTAAATTTAGTTCATTTTATTATGGTGCTGTTCAGTTCTAGGTAAATATTAAAGCAGTATGGTAAACAGATAAGTGAAAATGATCTAAGACTATTTCAGTGCAAGAAAAGGAGAGATTAAGTTTCAATATATATTTAGTATCATGTAACTAATTACCATTATCTGATTAACTCGAGGGGGGGGGGGGGTGTTGTTTAGAATCAGAGGCCCAAAGGGTAATAAACAGAGACGTAACATCAGTGCACTTGCATAACTGGGCTTCTAGGTAGGAACCTATGAATATATGATGCATTCCTTAGGACTGAAAGAGTTAATGATGTAAGAACCAACATCATAGTATACTGGACATAACCGTAGATTCTCCTTCTTCTACAATAATGTGTTAAGGTGTAGTGGCTGTTAATAATATCATAATACAATCACACATAGTCTGCATATAATATAATACATTTACACACAGTGCTTTTTATATTATCCACATTCCTACATCCGATTGCAGGTTATTTTGTAACCATATGGCTGCCTTAGTGTAACAGTGTTAGTAAATTAGTGAAAACTTATTTGGAAGCTGCGGAGATGTGGTTTTATAGACGAATGATGAGAATATCCAAAACAGAGAAAAAGAGTAATGAAGATATCTTGAAAGTAACTGACTCAAGAAGAGAACTGATTGCCCCCTTTAGAAAGAGACAATCTACATTCGTTGGTCACTGATGAGAAGGAGAAAACTGGAGTACATCATGACAGTAGGAAAGTTGGAGGGGAGGAGAGGCAGAGGGAGATCGAGAGAACAGAGTGCTGGACAGTTTGTCATCATGGCATAGAGGATCATCTGTGTAAAAGTCACTGGACAGTTGGACATCATGGCATAGAGGATCATCTGTGTAAAAGTCACTGGACAGTTGGACATCATGGCATGGTGGATCATCTGTGTAAAAGTCACTGGACAGTTGGACATCATGGCATGGTGGATCATCTGTGTAAAAGTCACTGGACAGTTGGACATCATGGCATGTTGGATCATCTGTGTCAAAGTTGATTGAAAGTAGGTGAAACAGAAGGTTGTGGATACACATGACTATCAACACCACACAGCAAGGACTTTAAGAAGAAGAATATAACATTGTTATACAGGTGAACAGGGTTTGCTGCTGTTTGATTCTCATCTCAGTCCTAGAGGAGAACAGTGGTCAGTAACCTTCACATGGTTTACTGACTCTTCTTCTTCTCTTTCTTCTTCTACCTTTCTAAACCCCAGTGGAGCACAAACCCTCAACCAACTCATTCTAAGTTGTTTGATCCTTTGCTGTCACATGCAGCTCTCCACATGTCCTCCCCATCTGTTTAACTTCACTCTCTAGCTCCCTTCTCCATGTTTATCTGGTCTTCCTTTATTTCTATGCCTCTGTGGGTTCCAGTGGAAAGACATTCTAGTTATATTGTTCCCAAGTGTTTCTCAATGTGTGTCCTTTCCAACGCCAACATCTTTTCTTCACCACTTGATCCAAAGGAGCTTGTTAAGTTCTCTCCCAAAGCTCTACATTAGTGATTCTATCATGCCATTGAATTGCTTTTATTCTGTGCAGGCACCAATTAATGAATGTTTGTGCATTGACTGGTAATCATTTAGAAAATTTAAAACAATCATACACAGCAGATGATAACATGACAGCTATCATTAGAACAGAAGGAGATATACTGCTATCAATACGTGACAGCTTGGTGAATGATTACACGTTAGGAAAGGCAAGACAGACATAAAATCAGACTACTATTGGTGTCATTTGAACTGGAGTTCTGATATGGCCTTTGAAGTTAGTGACAGAGCAATTATGGGAATGTCTTTAATGCTGTTATGTTGTTTCTTAACTCAGTTCAGTTCAGCCATTTGTTATTGCCTGTAAAATATGTAATAGCTTAAATTTAGTTTATTCTTATGTAGTTCTCTCAAGCTGAGGGTTAAAAATAATAGATGTATGGTAAATAGATATGTGAAAATGATTATAAATCTGTTTCAGTACAAGAAAAGGAGAGATTACGTGGCACTTACACTGATGAAAACCCAGATCATTTTGATGATTATGGAAAAGGGTAAGAGTCTGATTATTCATGGGATGTCTTTGTTGTCACAGCACTTTGTTTCTCATTAACTTCTAGACCTTAAAAAATTGACCACTTCAAGTAGGGTCGCGATCAGTTGAAGCAGTGTTCTGCCATTTCATGATGTCAAACTGTCCAGCCTTCTCTGTTTGCTTCATTCTATCTCTCTTTCCCTGCAGCTTTCCTGTTGTCCAGGTTTACCCACTCAAAAAATGCCCAAAAATGTGGACTGTCTTTTTTATGTGGATAATCAGTTCTCTTTGTGACCAATTTCTTTATGATAACATTCCTAACTGGTAACTTTGTCAACATGTTTCTTGAGGGGCTGTGAATTTATCCTATTGATTTTTTTTTTTTTTTTGGGGTATTTTGTTTTGTTTGTTGTTGTTGCTCTGAAATGGGGCCTCACAAACTACACAGGGAAACTGCAATATAAAAGAGGCAAGGATCATAATCCTGACTGTTTCATCAAAATGACAACATCTTTCTGTTATGGTTTTAAAATTTCCAGTTGTTCATTAGCTCTAAATGTTTTCAGTGTGATACTGTATTCCTTGAATATAGAAAATTTCTGTTTAGAAGGGGTTTTGCAAACACAAGGACAGAAATTCATTCACTTTTGGGTGGTAACTTTGCCAGTGAATCTATCATCAAAATGCTCACATTCTGCATGGCTTACTTAAACTGGAACATATTGTCAAGTGTTTGATTGAACTTCTGATATTTTAACTCTTTCAGTTCAAGAAACATGCGACACATTTAATTGACTGTGTTTAACTGCTCTTTCCTGTTAGAGACATAAGAAGTAGCCAATTTTTTAGTTGAACACAGTCAGTTAAATGTGTCACATGTTTCTTGAATGGAAAAAGTTAAAATATCAGACACGTTATATCATGAGACTTCTCACTATTTTTGGTCCAATCTCACCAAAGAAATCTGGCTACCATGGGATTCAGCACCTGAAGGCTCAGGCCTCTTAAGCTCCTTAAAAAATGTTAGAGTGCTAAGGTCTCATACTCCACCTTTCCAAAGTTTTCTTTGTGTTGACATCCCTGCTGGCTGCTACTGTCGCAACAGTCTTTTTCTTTACCAAAACCTCACCTCCCCCACCTCCCCAACCCACTAGAAAACTCACAAAAAGTGGAGCCCTGTAGTTTGATTCTATGATTTTTTTTAATTTCAAGTAAAACAAAATAGAAAATAAAAACAATAAAAAATACTGAAACATCTCCTAGAATAGAAATGGTTAAAACTAAAATATTTTCTGGATTAATGTTGTTGAAATTCTATTCTGTAGGGATGAAAACGGGATCAAAGGCAGTGGCTCATTTGATCAGGAAGCAGAAAAAGTCCCGCTTGAAGAGGATGTAGACAGCTTAGACTACGGAGATGATGAAGGCAGCAAATTCAATGAGGATGGGTCCTTCATCGGGCAATATGGTACTGCAGAGAAAGAAAATGAGACAAATGTCTCATCCATAGTTTAACAAACTGTTTTTTTGTCATAATTTAGGTACCTTCCTGAGAAACAATAAACAAGCTTTATTTGTTATGTGATAATTGTTCATTTGTTTTATAGCTGAGAAAGCCATTTTGTACACTTATTCACTTTTCTTGTGATAAAATCTGACTGGGGTTTCTTATATGGTCATTCACATTGGCATCTGCAGTATTATCAAACAGATCGTCTGCTCCCCAGTACAAAGGTTAACTAAACTATTGTTAAATGTTGTCATATAGTGCTCCAGCTTAGTCCAGTGTCAACTTGTATATTTGTTACTATTGGTGTGATTATTTCTGTGTGTTTAATATTATATTTCCACGCTGAACATCTATGTTGTCACATGAGATGATTTTGTTTGGTAAATAATGTAAAGCATTCATGTATATAAATTATGTTATTTCATTTATTTCATGTACAGCACGTTTGGTTGTGAGATGTGTTGGTACTCGTCAGTGTATCACCAACATTTCTCCACTGGGCTGCATACAGTTTGCCATTTTATAATTTGAAATTATTTCTTTTTGTATAATTGAACAGTCTCTGTCTGTAAGCCTTTACTTCAGAATGAGGTAGAACTAATTGTTTGCTGTATTAAATTAATGACACAGTTTTGAAATACATCTTTAAATTTGATGTGAAATGGTAGCACACCTGTCATAGAATCAGATACATATTGCTCAGTCTGGAGTGTGTATGCTTTAATGTTGTGGATATGAAATACAATGGATTCTTTTAAATGACATACAAGTTATCTTTATCATTTGGAGTAAATTAAGTAGCTGCCCAGTTAGGTTACATATAGGCAGTGGAGCTTGAATATATGCTGGCATTGAAGACACTCTGACAGTGAACATTCTTGAGGTAGAAGAACTAGTAAAAAATCAAGACAAGTGTCTGTCATTTTAATGAGAGTAATGTTTCCACAAAGGAACTGGTAAATCATCTTGATGATAGATTGTTCCAGTGATGTGGAGTTATGCGGGAATAATTTAGGTCGTTATTTTTTTTTAACCATCTTTATTATAGTATGGTTTGTAACTGTCTAATATCAACATTCATCTTCTCAATGTCCTGGCAATTTAATATCCCAATTCAGTAGTCACAGTGTAAAAAATATATGTGGTCATCCGTGTCTTCTGACTGAACTAACTCCGTCTGACTGAAGTGAAGATCACATTGTACTTATTTGTCCTGTTTGCAGGACCAGGAACTTAAACTTGGTTGGCAGTTGGTCCAGAAAGAAAGCTATGATTAGCAGAGAGACAAAGCACTGTTTTTCTGGTTAGGCAGCTTCTGCAGCATATATGTTTCAAACATATTGGTGTTACTTTTTGGGGGGGAGTAAACAAAGTAGGCAAAGATAGGGATCGTGCTACATGGGCAGTACATGGTCTCTGTAATGCTGCCAGAGCTTTATGCTGTGGAGAGGTGCTCTAATTGTGGAAGACTCTTCTTCACTTGAGTTGGTCCTGCTGGTTACATTCACCATCATCTTGGGCTATGATTCCAGTGCCTCCCTGTAGCACAGTATCAGACTCTCATCTGGAAATGTGCCACAATCTGCTAATTCGCTCACGACACTTTACTGCTAGGAATCCCAAATAAAGAGAATAAATCAAGGTAGCTACTTGTTTTTATGTGTCATTAAAATATCTTAAAAATAGGTTGTTTCAGTTTACTGGGGCTGCAGTTAACCAAAATCTTTTTTTGGTTTGTTTCTTAGTTTGTCTCCTTGTTATAATCAACATACATAGTTAAATATTGACGTGCATGTTGTATGTGCCACTGAATTATTTTAAGATACCTTAAGAGTACTTTATATTAGTTATATTCCAGTAGTTTTTGTTTAAATTTATTTTTCTATTTAGCATAATTAGATGTTTAAAAATATCACCCTCAGGTGATGAACTGTGCATAATTTGGCTGCATGAATATGTATGAAAGCAAACTTTGATCAGTGGATTGTTTGTGAGAGATCATGGATAAATTGTATGTGAGAGTTAAATTTCAACTTTAAAATGTAAGCCCCAAGAATGAGTAGACTGTACGTGAAAGCTACAATAATTAGAATAAATATGTAGGATGTGATAGTGAAACTAGAATGATTGTTCGAGAATTGGACTAAAATAATGAATAGATAGTGTGAGTTGAATTTGAAATGATTAATCGGTTACTTGGGCTGTTAACTCATGAAATCGGTGTGTCATATGTGAGAGCTACATGCATTAAGAATAGGAAGACATGTATATCTTTATAATCTTCTTTATTAATTTTTTTCACCAGATATGTATGTGAATTATTTTCGTTTTTAAGAATTAGTGTGCTGAATGTAAGTTAATTTTTTTATTTAAAAAAGAGAGTTCAATTCATGCTTCTAGAATAGGTATGCAGTGTATGAGAAAGGAACCACTTGTCCACATGATGTCTAATCTATTTATAATGTCAAAGATAAATGCTGTACAGATGTGTGTGGACAATATAGCTATTTGTTTAACTCTCGAAAGATGTATGTGTTGAGATATACCCTATAGTTGTGGAATGTGATGATATGTAAATAATGTGCCCCAAGGATTACCTAGCTTAGATGTTGGTATTTGAAATGAATGTGCATTGGTTATGTACATTTGTTATCATGTAGTTGCATAGTGGGTGCACTGTAATATCTGATAGCAGAGTTGCATTAGGGCAGTTGATATGAGACTCACTTTCTAATCCAGCTGTGACTCACTGCAGCCCATGGCTGGTGTTCAAAATTGGGCGGTTCCCAGGGTTCATCCAAACTCTAGAAAATCTCTGATAGGAATTTCTCACTTGCCAAGCAGATGTTTTAATCTTAACTTTTAGTGTAACTTTCCATCCATCAGTCATTTTTCTACTAACTTGTTTCGTATTGCCTAACCTCCAGTTGTCAGTAATTAACTCTTTTATCACAAAGCAATATACCATGTGTCATCTGCTTTTCCCTGTGTGTCTTAAACTTTACTTCATATGTGATGATACCTTTTAAATCTGGTCAGCAGGTGACTGAAAATAGGGCTTCATTATTGGCAATTTCCACTCTCTGTATAATCCTACAACATGTTTGTTGAGAGCGTAGTCAAGAGCTCTTGTAGAATAGGGTGAATACACGCTCATCTGCCAGCATGAAGCTCTTCTGTTTGAATCACATCGTGTCACATTGTTTCTTCTTCAAACTGACTTCAATTCCCAGATCAGCCAAGCCTAAAATAGATACCAGGTAATATCATTGGAAGTAAAGGTGGCCAGCATTGTATTGACAACATCACTCGCAGGGTGTCAGTTGATGTGTTTACAAAAACAAAACAGTAAATACGAGTCATATACATGATGTTCCACTGGTATAAAAAGGGTCCTTTCCTTTTTAACTTACATATCTTTCTGTAGTGGTTTTCCTGGGATTATTTAGTGAAAAGGATTTGTGTATGAAACATCTGGAACTGAAACAATAAAAATTTATTAAAAGTTATAAGATGAAGAAGGTGGCAATTTACTGTGCATATCCTGAAGAGAAACCAACATAGAATCTCCAGACAGGCACTTAACTCTTTGAGTCCCAAGGAACGCATCATACGTTCATAGGTTCCTACATAGAAGCCAAATGAACGCATGATGTGCAGATTTTATGACTCTCTTTACTACCCCCTGGGCCTGTGATGCTAAACCCCCTGGGACTCAAAGAGTTAAGTGGGAAACAGCTGGACTGAGGAAGGTGATAAAGTTCAAAAATAAAACTCTGAAATTAACATTTATGAGAGAGGCCAAAGGTGGTGGACTGCATTCCACGCATGATACTGAAACAGTTGCACAGGATATAGCATAATGAAAGTATAGACTGTGAGCTCTATATGATGTGTAACATCATGAAACGGTGGCGAGGATGATGAAGATGATGAAGAAGGAATGTTAGCATTCTTGTGTCTTAGAGCAAGGTTTAGTAGTAAGTGAAGCTTTTATGTGGCAATAATCTTATAGCAGTTAATCCTGAGAATTTATATCTTCTTGGCTAGTACAGTCATAAATAACTTTGCATGTTGGGAGTTTTGTTTTTGCTATTGAAAGAAAAATAGGTTATCATCTCGCTGAATGATCAGTCTCAAGTTCTCTACCTGAGAATCTACAATTCTAAACTGCTCAGCAAGCTGCTACACTCTGCTAACATATGACATCATAAATAAATATTCTCCTGCTTTCTGGTCTTCTTATTTATTAAATGATATGTGAATCTTTTATTTATTAACATATTTATTTCTAATATTCCATATATTTATGTGTTCAGTTACTTCATATATTTTGACTCAGTTTGTTTAATTATTATTTCAGCTTCATTTATGTATTGTAACCTTTATTTATTGCTGTTACTTTGTGTATTTGTATTTTGTTTCTTTGCTTTTTGGGTACATCAGTGGTTCTATAAAAAATATGAGCTCAGCATCAGATGCGCAGGAGCCACTCACGTGAAAAGGGTCCTTTACCTGTCTTTACTGCTTACATCAGTGGTTCTCAGCTAAAACCTGTTGGCCCATCTTATTTTGTAAGGTCTGCCATGGATTCCATACATCTTAATACTGATTACTGATTAAAGAATTGACATCATAATACATAGGGCATACCTATAGATGCTCCGTCTCCTGCAGCAAGTGTCTGAAGGTGTAGATGCTAACTATTCCCATAGCACACTGTCATTCTCTTCCTCTCATACTCCTGTCCTTGCTTTATTTCTTAATAATCATACTAGAAAATCTATTAAAATTTATAAATATTAGAATCACAAAAATGGATTGCATTCTAGAGTTTAGGATTTTCATGTAAATGAAAACACAAATGCTTTAATTTGTCCTGGGATTCACCATGGTGTAGTAGCTAGACGCTCGTCTGTGAATCGGAAGGTCGTAGGTTCAGGTCCTCACAAAGCTGGGATTTTTTTTTAAATGACTCGCATGTCGACCCATTCTTAAGTAGGTA